CATTTGTTTTCCACTTATCTTCTGAAGACTTGACTATTCTACGAGTATAATAAACTTCCAGACAAACTGTCTTTTTCAATTTTTTTTTTGTTATTAGAAAAGCCGCGATGGCGCCCAAAAAAGAAGCAATAAACAAAAAAATTAAGCAATCCTTTATATTTATGTTAGAATCCATGTGTGACGATTTAAAAAAAAAAACTTCCAATGTTTCCAACGATATTTACTCGTAATATAAACACGACTCTACGTAGATAGTTTATGTAAAATTATTATTTTACATTGTGACTTTAAAAGTATGGAGTCTTAAGTAATTTGTTAAATTATTGTACTATATACATATAAACGAAAATGTCCTTACGCAATTTATATACGAAATATACGAAAACAATATCAAGCATAGTTTTACCGTAATCACAAAAATAGTAGGTACGTAATCGCATGTTGTGAAGAGACAAACGCTTGAAGCAGAAAATAATATATAAAAAAGTTATTTTTTTTTATTTGATTATTAAATTTTTACTTATGAAATTGTCGATTTTAGAGAGGGGGCCGGGTGAACCGTGCTTACTTCAGAATCATGCCCACTTGCTGTCATAAAATGTCATGCTATTTAAAATATTAGGCAAATCTAAAACAAATAAAAGGTAACCCTATTACAAACTCCGCGCATCTGCTATAAAATGTTTAGTCTGGGTTCGAACTTTTTTTTTTTATTTTGTAGTAAACGCGAATTCCGGTTTCCGTTACGTGTTTCTATAAATTCATACATATAACTGCTGATAGTATTTGATTCTAAAAGATTATATAAAATATTTCGTAAATATAGATTAAATATAACCATAGATTTTAATTGTTCCTATTTTAATTATTCCTCACCATCCTATGGTTGCATTAAAGAGATCGCTATTTAGCGATAAGCATGCCCATTGTTGCCACCTTATCTTGCTTTTATATAATTAAATTTATATAATTAAGTATTCATTCTATTTGTGCACATATAGTTAATCTTTATAATCTGTATAATTCTTTGAAGGGAACAATAAAGGGTTTTCCTTTATTTATTCATTCATTTGTGGATACATGCAATAAATGAATAGATAGAGGCCTCCAAAAGCCTCATTCTTTCTACTTATACCACAAAAGACTTGGCAAAAATAGAAATTGTAAGTGCATGGTTTCGTTACACCGCACTCCAAAGTTTTTTATTATTAATTAAAAATTAAGAATAGAAGGTTAAGAAAGCTGAAGTGGCAATGGCCTCGTTACATAAGAACCGATAACCTATGGGAAAGAAAAATCCTTAAGTGACTCCCACTAGATGAAGTGACGACCTCAAATGCATTGCAGGCAGTTAGTGGATGCAGGTGGCTCAGGATCGTTTCTTTTTTTTTTTTTTTTACAACACAGGGGGCAAACGAGCATGCGGCTCACCTGATGGTAAGTGACTACCGCCACCCATGGTCACCCACAACACCTACGGCATTACAGGTGTGCTGCCGGCCTTTTAAAAAGGAATATGCTCTTTTCTTGAAGGTTATGTTGTCGTATCGGTTCGGAAATACTGCTGCTGGAAGTTGATTCCAAAGAGTGGTTGTGCGTGGGAGAAAGTGCCTTGAAAAACGCACGGTGGAGGACCGCCACTCGTCCAGATGGTTGGGATGAAATTTTAGTTTATGGCGGGTTGTACGATGGTGAAAATCTGCAGCAGGTATCAATCCGAACAATTCTTCAGAGCACTCCCCATGATAAATTCGGTAGAAGATGCACAGAGATGCAACATCTCTACGCAGCCTCAGTGGGTCGAGCCGGACAGTAAGACGCCGATCGTCAACAATTCGAGCTGCCCGACTTTGAATGCGGTCTAACGGAAGGAGTTGGTACTGTGGTGCTCCTGCCCACAGGTGAGAACAGTATTCCATGTGTGGCCTCACTTGAGCTTTATACAGTTTTAGGCGGTTTTCTGGCGTGAAATACCGTCTCACCCTATTGAGCACCCCCAACTTTTTGGAAGCTATCTTAGCTTTTTCCTCCAGATGACCGCAAAACTGGACGTCGCTAGATATATCGACGCCAAGAATCCCCAGACTCGACTTATTATCAAGGGAAGTGCCCCGAAAGTGAGGAGATACGACAAACTGTATCTTTTTTGCGGTGAACGCGCAGACTTGTGTCTTCTTAGGGTTAAAGTGAACAAGATTGCGTTCACCCCAGATCGAAACTTTATCGAGTGAAGTTTCGATTTCAGACACAAGTCTGTTCCGGAGCTCATCGGTATGTGCCCGCGAGATCTTTGCATGACCGGTGTATAATGCATCTCCTGTACTGTCGTCTGCATAACAATGAATATCACTGATCTGTAACATATCATTGATATGCAGAAGAAACAGTGTCGGAGATAGTACACAGCCTTGCGGGACACCAGCATTCACAGGTTTTAAGTCAGAGCATGCTCCGTCGACTACGACCTTAATGCTACGTTCCTTAAGAAAGCTGGCGACCCAACTGCACAATCTCGCAGGCAACCCAAACGAAGGTAGTTTCGAGATTAGTGCCCTATGCCACACCCGATCAAAGGCTTTCGCAATATCCAGACTAACAGCTAAGGCCTCTCCCTTATTCTCGATTGCCACCGCCCATCGGTGTGTTAAATAAATTAAAAGATCACCAACCGAGCGTCCTCGTCGAAAGCCGTACTGGCGGTCTGAGATTAGCTGGCGATCCTCTAGGTACCGGAGCAGTTGATCGTTAATAACTGATTCCATGACTTTCGAGAATAAGGAAGTAATAGCTATGGGCCTATAGTTAGCTGGATCAGAGCGGTCTCCTTTTTTAGGGATCGGATGCACCAAAGCAGTCTTCCAAAACTTTGGGACTATACCTGATGAGTAACAGAGCCGAAAAAGACGCGTAAGAACCGGAGCCAACTCTGGTGCGCACGTCCTAAGCACAATTGGAGGAATGCCATCGGGCCCACTCGACTTATGGATTTCAAGGGAGAGAAGTGCTCTACGCACTGATCTTTGCGTGAATTTAACATTCGGCATAGAGCTCTTACAACGCGGAATGGTCGGCGGTAGTTTCTCCCCGTCATCCAACGTCGAGTTTGATGCAAAGAGAGATCCAAGGAGATCGGCCTTCTCTTTGGCGTTCAGAGCCAACGAGTTATCCTCCCTGCGCAATGGTGGAAAAGATGACTGACAAAAATTCCCTTGTGCAGCTTTGGCAAGAGACCAGAAAGCTCGAGATCCCGAAGGTAAATTGGCCAATCTCTTGCCAATTCTACCAATATGCTCTGACTTCGCTGTGGCCAAAACTCTTTTGAAGGACCTAGAGGCAAAGTTATACTTCTTTTTGAGGGCACTGATGTTAGGATCTCGCGACGCCACACCTTTGGCCCAGGCTAGGAAGCACTCCTGTTTCAGGCGAGATGCTATTCTACAAGAGGCTCCATACCAGGGCTGGGATTTCCCACCGACAGGTACCACAGAGTTAGGAATAAATAATTCCATTCCCTGAAGCACCACATCGGCGATGGAATTGGCGATGGCGTCGGGATCCCCCAGTGCGAAGCAAACCTGCCTCCATGGGTAAGATGCGAAAAAAATCCGCATCTCATCCCAGTCTGCCGACCTGTAGTGCCAAACACGACGTCTACCCGTAGAACGTGGTGGAATCGGACTCATGAGAGGCACCTCGCTCCGCACCAGACAGTGATCCGACGATCCAAGCGGAGCTTCGACGGAAATCACATAGTTGTCTGGGTGGGTGGTCAGCAGAAGGTCCAGCAGTGAAGGTGAATGGTCCAACACATCAGGTATTCGCGTGGGCGAGGAAACAAGCTGCGTCAGACCATAAGCCAAAGCAAAGTCATGAACAGATCTTCCCGCATAGTCGGTTGTACGTGAACCAAGCCATTCGGTATGGTGGGCATTAAAGTCGCCAAGAATCACGACTTCAGCGGAAGGAATCTGTTCGAGCAGGTAATCTGTAGCCATTTGGACGTGCTCAATGAGTTGGTCGGTTTCGATGTTACCGCTGTGGGACCTGTATAGGCATGCATAGACGCGAGGAATGTCATTGCAGTCTACGCGCAGCCATAAAATAGACAGGTCCGTTCCTTCAAGAATTCCAAGGCGGCGACAGCAGATATCCTCTCTGACATACGCGCATACACCGGCACGCGAAACAAAACAATGTTCGAGTTTATAGCCTGGGTACGTCAGGTATGAAGTTTCGTTTGGAGAGGATATCTGTGTCTCCGTTAGAAAGAGCAATGCCGGCCGCGCCGTTTCTAGGTGGTGGTGGACAGCGTTTAGGTTAGAATGTAATCCCCTGATGTTGCAGAAGCTCACATTGAGCGAAGGGGATGCCGTAGAAATCTTGCTCCGTTTGCCCTTGGTTCCAAAGAGCGGAATTTTGCCCCCCCCCAGAATACGCAGGGCAGCCCGAGCGTGGTTGCTCGAGGGAGGATTCTCCAGTAACATGGTTACTGGTACCTCCCTGGGGTATGTTATTTTTTTTTAATTCCACTGCCATGGTTGCGTGTTGTAAGATAGGGGGACGGGGTTGGGGAAAGGATTTTAGGAATAGGAAAGGGATGGGTATGGGATGGGAATGGGATGGGCCTCCGGACTCCCTCACTCACCATACGGAATGTGATCGCACTAAAAGTACAACCACTTAGCGTCGGTATTCTGTGAGGGTGTGGTACTTCCCCGGTCGAGCCGGCCCATTCATGCTGCATTACCATATAGGATTACAGCGTGGCTCTACCACAGTATCTTATGGCGGACTATAGGGAAAGCCTATGTCCAGCAGTGGACAGATAATGGCTGAATTTTTAATAATGATGAATTAAAAATTATTACTCTTCGTACATTTGCACATGTCCACAACGATTTTATAAATGTTAGTTAAAGGATACTGGTAGTACTCGTATATGTATACCGAAATGTTGTTTATAATTAGGAATTGTTCTAACCATGTAATGATATTAACAGCCGGGATCTGCTGGTCGGGTATGGAGCGTGGCGGGCGGTGCAGCTCAGTGGTAGCGTTGCGCGTAGGCCGCGCCGAGTGTTGCGCGGGCGCAGCGCGCTCGCCCGCTGCCTGGAGTCCCCGAGATCTTGACAGCGGCGAAATATTCTTCTTCAAAGCGCTCTCCGGGGGAGTACCTTGTACAGCGTGTGCAGGTTAGTTTGTCACGTCTACGTTTTAAATACACCAAAATGACTGGACTATAGAAATATATATACAAAAAGTACCAAAAAAGTTTGCAATTTTCTCCCATAAATAAAACCAGCACCAAGTTAGGGGAACCGCAAACGGTTGGCGCTAAGGGGCGTCTAGGTTCAAGGGAGGAGCCCCAGAACCCAGGTATTAGTAAAGGCAAACTCGACGTTGGTACTTTTGAGATATATCAGACCAGCGTTGGTTAAGTATAGGTTCTAAAAGTGCTTCATTCGTGTTACATACTAAACCGCATACTATGCATAAACTAGACCTTATTTTTTCATAACATCTTAAAAGTATTTTTTCAACTGAACATTATATTTACAAGTCATAAATTTACAATGTTTTTATGTGTTTACCACCCACCACCAAACATTAACATTAACATGTTCCTATTGCATGACTGTCAAATTCCATAACGATGATGTGTTTGTTCTAAAAAGAATAAATTTATTTAATGACTGTCCGGAGGAAACCCCTTAAATCTTTTAAATTCCTTATAGCTCATTGTATCATAATTAAACAACACTTTTATAGAAGGAAGTTACATTGAATGAGGCAGAGTTTCTATCTACCCAAATTTAGTTGTGATCCTCTCTTGTTATCTCAAAAGACATAATATCCACCAACATATGACAAAATCACGAGGTATTAACTAATTATGGTCTTCCTGTCATAAAAGTCAGCGATGGGCATGTACCATCACATGCGATCTTTACCATCTAATGCTGCAAGCGCTCATTGGTTGCAAGGTTTGTAAAATTATTATTTTTATCCTATGTAAAACATTACAGTATATACTGTGAACCCTACATTAAACCTCATGCTATGGACTAATATCGTACCCTCAAACCGAACACTACAGCCCTGTATTGATGCACACTGCTGCTTTTTTAATTGAAACACAAGTATCTCAAATATCTGCAAACGAATTTTACACTAATAGCAACCGTCCTCTGTATTTCTTAGCTTTAATTCTCTCGGTACTTCAAAACCCTGAATTACCATTTATTATTATATTCTACTCGCGACAATCTGCCTTAAAAGTGCATTTGTGTTGAGCATAATGATAGTGATAACAATTTATGGAGATTTCATTTATCATTTTATAACTAATGTAATTATATGAATATAATACGTTTACAAATACATTATTGCTCAATTAAATCATTGCAAGTGTTATCTATACCAATATAGGTATCATTATACTAACAAATACATAATTGGGGCATATCAGGGTGCATTGTCCGATAGAAGAGTACCGCGCTTCAAAATCGAGAGAAATGCTTTGGCACATTGACAAAAATGTGATTTAAAAGAATACACGAATAATGTTTTGTGCATTATACTTATTGGATTCTTGGAACTGTTGTTGTTATAATAGTTACATTACATAAATGCACTTATTCGATTTGCGTAGTTTATTTTGTGACCTTGACAAAAATAATAAATTTATTACATATTAGGATTATATACAAACACATACAAATTTACTAAATCATATTTACTGAAAAGTGATTAATATAATATAATTCGCAGTATCCGGCATAGAATAGGCCACCTCTTCCTTTCCCGTGGGTGTAGTAAGAGTCGACTAAGGGAGGGCGAGGGACGAGCAACAACATCCCTCTTTAAAACATCTCCAAAGCCTAACTGCGGTTGTCAATCCGCCTACCAAGCGTGGCAACTACTGGCAAAACCCCTCCATGGGAGAGGCTTATATTAAGCAGTAGACAGTTAAAGGCTGATATGATAATGATGATTAGTATAATTAAAGTTAATTTATTTATTTACTACATAAATCACATTTATGTTGGTGCCTATTATAATTTTTTTAATAGATTATTATATAAATAATTAGACTGTTTTACAACCGCAAAGAATCATCGAAATCAGTACAAGACTTGCTGCAAGAAATCTCTTATTAGAAATAAGCTTGCCTTTATACATTACGTTTAAAATTAATTGTTCTTAACATTATGTTTGTGTGCAATAGAAAATAAAGAACAGAACTGGTGAAGATATAACTTAACATTCATATAAAAAATAAATCAACTTCAGATCGTCCTTCTTTTTTATTATTTTGAAAATACTATGATGTCATTTCTTATTGTACTAAAATGGACTTGGCATTCACAGAGTCATGCGCGGGCGTGTCATGCGGGTCCGGACGGCGCTGCGTAGTTCGCGGCGGCCGCGCTAGGTGCGTGTGCGCAGCGGCCTGCCGCCGAGTCGGTCCCGTCTGTGGCACCGACGGCAAGACCTATCCCTCGCTATGTCGACTACGACGACGGGCCTGCCGACGACCAGCCAAGCATCTCGCTCTTGATTACCCTGGGCCTTGTCAAGGTAAAAATATAACTATTAGGTGCCTATCAAAGTTTACCGGAAGCAAGCTTTACCAAATGATCACTGTGAATGCAATTCGATGCAATAAGACCAACTTTAATAAACAAAATTTTCTGAATTGACTCATTTCTACTTGATTTGGGTTTTGGCCCCAGATTTTCGTTGCTTTGTTCCTTATTACCTAAACTTTTAACACTAACACATCGTCTATAAAATAAAATTAAAAACACATAATCAAGAAGTTATTTTTTAAATTTGTTGTCAAATCTATCAATGAACAAAAAAATAAAATTCTACATTGGTTTGACAAGTAGGCACGTTATGTTAGTTGTTGTGAAAGCTAAACGTTTTAGATAATTTATCGTCCCAATTTTGTTTGAAAAAATATTCAATTGCACTGGCAGAGCATTTAAATAATTGCTAATAATTTCATTTTCACTTCTGTATACCTTTATATCGTTTACATGTGGACACGTAATTCACAGGAATGAGGAGCGTGCTTTGAGAAAAGTATTTTTTTTATACAACTTAGAATGGCAAACAAGCTGACGGCCCACCTGATGGAATGTGGTAACAGTCGCCTATAGACATGAGCAGTACCATGGACATAACAGAGTATACTGTTTTACCCATGTAACCTCCCATGCTTTGCCATTCCTAAGGACTCAGGTATTATTCCTCTGTACCCTATAAATTCACTGCCATATCCCACCTTTCAAATCGAAAGCCACACAATCACAGCCATGCAAATACAACTACTTCACGGTAGAAACACAAATAGAACAGAGTTGCCCAAGCTTTTGTACAAAGTCTCCCTCTGGTATTTTGAATGTAGATAGCTATAAAGACGAAGGAAGTTCTAGAAAGACAAGAATGCACTGTGTGAAAAACAATATTATCAGAATGGAAGTTAATATGGAAATGACAACGAATAGAAAAGAATGGAGGAGAACATAATACGCAGTCCCCAAATAAACAATTGTTATAAGCGTAGGATGTTTATGCCTGTATATCTCTTGTAGAAGGCCGGTACATGTCCTTATTCATAGGGTACAGTTCAAGTCATCAAGTGGCTGCAACTCAGTAACTTATAGTCTTTTCATGTTGAAAATGGTTACCTTGAATGGTCAGTTATTATCGGCGCCGCAACTCATAATCTCAACATCGTTTTTCATCATTATCATTAAAGATACATTAGTTGATCATAAAATTATTAGCTATAAGCACGTGTATAAATAGTAATGATTCATGTGCCGTCCGCCTGGCAACAAGTGTACATCTATCACGGGCGCCTAGCAACCGGCTGGATACAAAATGGTTGTTTAAAGCCCTATCAAAGTTTACTGGCTCATTATAGGCGCACCCAAGCTTGACCGCGAGCGGACCGGCGACCCGACACGCTTATCGTTTGTTTTAAAATATAGGTACACCTTATTTCCAGTTCTAGGGAATTTATATATTTCGCAAAGCTCAAGTCATTTATGAAGTGGTATCAAGTCAATAAATCTTTATGACATAATACTACGTATTCGAAGGTTTGATAGCCCTTTGTCTGGCTGGATAAGTAGGCTGTTTTTGATAATTATTGTTGATAGCCGTTTCATTTTTCTGATATGAGCTCATTTAGTTGGATTGCCTCGTCTATATTACTTGGTAAATTTAAAGAAAAGCTATGCCTACTCTTTAACTACATTCATAGCTTTTATATTTGTACTATCTGATTCGACAGACATTGATCTGTCGAAATTATAAAACAACCTCAGTACTTTGAGATTTATATTGTTTAAATCTCTCTTTTAAAATATGGGAGCAACTAATAAAATCTCTTAGAAGCACTTTGTTCCTACAAATCATTGGAGTGTACTGATATCAATATACAATTTAAAAGTTTGGATAATATAAAGAATATAACAGAAGAATATCAACCAACTACGTATTCGGTTGATATTTTTTGTTATATTTTTTATATTTCTCAAATTATTATTAGTTATAATCAAGAATACAATGCAAAAATTATTTTTATCAAAAATTCTGTTTTTTTTTAAAAAAAAAGCTTTAACTACTTCTAACTTTTAACAAACTATCTACTTTAAGTATTTTTTATATATTTACATTAAAAATCGCCATATGACCCCAGCATAGAATGAACTTTTCTCGTGGGTGTCAAAAGAGCGACTAAGGGAATTTAACACGCGACGAATAGGCAGCAGCGTTCCTCATAAAATATCACCAAAGCCTAACTGCGGTTACCAACCCATCTACTACAGTGGCAACTACTGGCAAAACCTATTTTTACGGAGGAGGCCTACCTTCAGCAGTGGACGGTTATTATTTGATATGATGATAAAAAATTACAAAGTGATAGTCAGTCGTCTTCAAATTAGATTAAGCAGCGGAGGTCAATTTATTAATCTTTAGTCGTCTAGCCATTAGCTTGCGATAGACAAGAACAAAAAATAAGTGTATTTAAAGATAATACACATAATAAAAGAATTTCATATATCTATCCATCCATGTTTCATATATTTATGCCTCCAAATTCTAATGTATTCGAATCACTGTAACATCTAACTTTCCGATCATTCTCTAGATTTCCTGTAAATCTAAAGCTGCTGATCATAATGTACATAATTTGTTTTTAATTGTTATATAAAATAAAATACACATGTTGTTAATTTATTAAATAATTCTGCTAAGTTAATACTCGCTACTGTACTCGGATAGAGTAGGAGATAACAACACTTTGTTGACATTTGCAATTGTCATAAATGTAAAACGTAACATCTTATGCTATCCGCTGTTTCTTACAGTTTCCGCTTCATCGAGATAATTAAATTGCGATTTTTATTATTCTTTGCACAACACGATAAAAGATAAAACCTTCTACAGTTTCAAAAATAAAACCCCTTATATACGAGTTTAGTGTTGAGAAATAATAATTTAAATTGCAGTTTTACGATAGCCGTCATATTGATAATGCGCTTGTCTGGTTTCGTTTATTTGTGCGGGTCGAGACTATCAATTCGCCGTCTGGGCTGCGTCTGCGCACAACAGTATGTATTTTCGCGAGAGTGCGCGCTCACAAAAACACGCTCTTTATTATAATTTCTTTTAAAGAGAATGGTAATTAACTCCACATATTTATACATAAGAGGTCAAGACTGCATTACTTATTTATTTTAAGACTTCCTGTTGAATACGAAGTAAAACGCAGAAAGACAATATTTGTTTGCTTGGCAATCTTTATTGAATAATTTTAATATTGCTTTAGCTAGTAATAGTGAAAGTAGTAAATGTATACAAGAGACATCAGTAAAGATACACGCTGACTGAAGGCTGGATCAGACTGACAGATAATGTGTATGGTATTTACTATGTGTACCACACAACAAACCGTACATGAGAACTCTCATTCATTAGACAACTGATGCTGAACAAATACCTATGTGAATTTATTGACGTCTCCATACAAACGCTTCGAGAAAAGCCGGTCAACTTGTTCATACAATTTTGCGTGATAAATATGTAGTTATGCGTGATTCCTTTATAACTTCTATATTTATTTTGTCTTATAATTTACCATATGTATCTTTTTAATACATAAATACTCACTTTATTTATTAAATAATACGTCAAGATACAATGTAATGATAAAAAAAAAACAATTCGGCTAATTTGACAATTAGCTGACTAAAAGTTGTCCCGTTTTTGTGACTCGATGCTCTATCTATATAATCTAAAAGTAATTGATATATTTTCTTTCTTCTCGCCGTGTAGTCCCGGTATAGAACGGGTCACAATTCTTTTACTTAGGGTGTCGTAAGAGGCAACTAAGGTAACTTAATGGTCGAGGGATAGCCTGCAGCGTCAGTCTCAAAACATCAACAAAGCTTAACTGCGGTAGTCAACCTGTGAGTGACACCTACTATCAAAACTCCCCTTAGGAGGACACCTATGTTCAACAATGGGCAGTTTATGGCTGATATAAAAATAATAATAATAATAAAATATTGTCTTTATGCAAATTTCTGATAATTTAATATGATATTTTAAACGAAAAACAATCTGAATTCATAAATGTGTACTGTATGCTTATATTATCGAAATAGGTTATTAATAGATAAATCTAGAAAATATAGTAAATATTTTTGAATTTTTTTTAGAGCGGTTAAGTAGCTATTTTACGCGACTTACCGGCGTAGATGCCTTCTCGAAAAAATTTTGAAAATCTCATTTACGTCATATATGTATGTGGAAAACTTCGTGTTTCTAAAGCCAGCAATTTCGGTTGTGCGTTTACCAGTCAGTCCATTTCTCCTTTTATATATGATCCCCATAATATAAGTACCTATAATATATAAATTATAATTAGAGACTTATTGATTTTTTTAAATGTCTATCATATCATCATAGGCGACAGTCACTTACCATCAGGTGAGCTGCCTGTATACTTAAGATCTACTGAGATACTACCTGAGATACTTAAGATCCGTTTTAAAAGAACTTAATAAAAACAACGAAGTTTCATAGAAATTATTTCAAAAACACTCTCTAAATGTAATTATTAACTGAATCGAAAGATTGAATTTTCAAAATCTATCCGATTCGTTTGTTTACATTTTCAAAACCAACTGTAATTGTTACGTACTAATTAATCTATAAAATGTCACTAGAATCGCATAACGTTGTGGTCACTTCCTTCGAAAGATAGTTAGCGATCATTAATTCTCCCGATCCCGTAATGACCGGCCCTCCCCTACTATCGAGTTTGTAAATTACCCACTTGTTCCTAGAAGGTTGGCTACATCTCTATTGGGGATCGCGGCTCAATAATGGCTCATTGCGATGCACGATACGTCTGGCCGAGCGCGTCTCGCCCCGGGTGGATGCATGTGAATGAGAACTTAACTCCTTACTACCGTGGCTAGCTTATGTCGAATTGATTTTTATCACACACTGTTTGCATTCACCAATTACCGGTGCCAACTACCGGTTTGCACCACTATTATATAAAAACTATAGGTTATTTTACAATTAAAACTATTTATGTATTGATTCATAAAAAAATGATGTTCGTATCTTTTTTTTATACAACTTAGAATGGCAAACAAGCTGACGGCCCACCTGATGGAAAGTGGTAACCGTCGCCTATAGACATGAGCAGTACCTACAAACTAACTCATCTACACAAAATATTTTTTTTTTCTAATAGTTTTTTTGACACATTTATTTGCTGTCAATTTCTTAAATTCTTATTTTAGCTATTCCATATTGGTGTTGGCCATATTTGTCGAAAAATTTTCGAAATATTTATTTAAATTTGTTAAAAAAATACTGTAATTAATATACAGATAGATTCTTTTATACATTCTTAATTGATTTATTATATAAGTAGCCATAATAAAATTTTACTACTACGGTTTAATCATCAATGTAAGTCGTTACCTTGTGTGATAAGTAAAGACATAAAATAATATAAATGAAAATAGATTACACATATTAAATATATATATATATATATATATATATATATATATATATATATATATATATATATATATATATAAGAGAATTTCGAGTGACTTCCTCATATATCAACGCACAACCGAAACTGCTTAATCTGTCTTGAAAATTTTCAGACAGGTTCTTTATAATATAAAGACCTTATTACCTATATAGCGTAGGTAAACAATAAGTGAATTTTGAAAATAAAAACCCTAAGTAATTAAAATGGGAGTTGAAATTTTTGTATAGAATTTCGTCGGTTTGAAAGTTAGACATGTGAATTTTATGAAACAAGAAATTAAATACCAAACCCAAGCGAAGCCACAGATAAAAGCTAGTATTACATATGTAGGTTAAAAAGCACAATGAATTCGGACTTTCATCCATCTCGGTTTTTGACGTTACATGATCGTGGCGACTGTATTTTGTACCACCACCTACCTTTATTCTTTTGCTCAATGTCCTCTATCCAAAGGCTATGTAGAAGAATTTACTTAGCGATAAGGCCACCTTTTTATCACTTCTCATTAATATTTATTGTAATTATTATTTTTTACTTGGTGCAATAAATTGTAAAATAAATAAATAAATAATTTGTATAATAAACAAGTGAATTCTCCTGTTCTCGTATTACGTTCGAGAAACAGTGGTTACGAGTCGAAGGATGTCATCGGATGCAGGAGTGCAATTACACGGATCCAAACCGGCCCATGCCACGTCGCGCTTCTAAGGTGTATATTACAATATCAAACTTATATTTTAATACTAGCTTTTAACTACAATTTCATTCCTGTAACTGAGACATATTGCTTTTCTTTTTTATGCAACGTAGAATGGCAAACAAGCTGACGGCCCACCTAATGAGAAGTGGTAACGGTCGCCTATAAACATGAGCAGTACCATGGACATAACAGAGTATACTGTTTCGCCCATAATACCCACCATGCGTTGCTATTCCTGAGGACTAATGTGTTATTCTTCTGTACCCCGTAAATTCACTGACATATAACCAACCTCCGAACCGAAACACAGTCACGCAAATACAACTGCTTCACGGTAGAAACACGAATGGGACAGAGGTACACAAGCAAACGACTTTTGTACAAATTGATTGAATAAAGTAATCTATATCCTTCGTCATCCCAAATAGTACTCGTATACCAAAGTTTTAGATGATTAGTTTAGGTAAACAAACAAACTCATTTCCACATTTATCATTATAAAAAAAGCATCCCTCAATTGTTTTCCAGGGCATACCTATATTATATCATATATGTATATTGCTAGCAATGGGATTTTGAAGCTCAATTACTAGCAATCCCTTTTCTCCCGCTCTATGAATATTTTTTTAATAGATGACAATGGAGTGGTAACCCCTCCTGCGTTAACGGTATACGCTGGTGGGTCACCAGTGAATGATAATAGATGAGAATGAAAACGCAGGCCAGTTAGCCTAGCGTAATGAGTACACCTGGAATTCAACACGACGGTTTCCAGGGAGACCACGTTGAGGTCGACCTGACAGGGCATATTGCTAGCAATGGAACTGGTAATCCGCATTACTAACAATCCCTTCCCTCCGCTCTATGAATATTAGGTATTAATAACTTTGTAAAGGTGTTCAACTCTCACAGACACACATTATAGCGAAGTGAAATTAGAATACATACCGTCAGATCAAAAGTAAACCAGACATCCCCTTTGAATACTATGAATAATTTTGCGTTCACGATAATATCGAGGCGAAATCGCCGTCAAACTACTTTATCGCGTTTTACGAGCGGAAAGACTCGCCTCTGCTCGCTACCGCAACAGAAATTCCTACAATAACTATTATACTAATTCTAATATTTGCCTAAATATACCCTGAATATTTCTAACTAAATAATTCTAAGCTTATGATCTTTTATAACATGGCGAAACATATAATTCCCAGAAAATATCGTGAGTATCGACTTACCTTTTTTTGACAAAACATTCGATGAATTACAGAAAAGGGATAGATTTAAGAATAAAAAAGCCAAGTGCAAGTCGGACTTGCGCACCGAGGATTCTGTACAAATTGAATAATAAAATTTACAAAAAAAGAAAATACTTTTTTCACAGCTTCAAAGGATTGCAGACTTGTGTATTCGAAATTTATTTCAGCTTAATACCTTCATGTGTTCCTAATAAAAAGGGTCTTGACAGACCGATACACGGACAAAAAAGTGACCCTATAAGGGTTCCGTTTTACGTTTTAAGGGACGAAATCCTAAAAAATAATCTCAAATCATTATATATGCATATCAACTTCAAAATCCAGACATTACCTTAGGTTTGAGTTTCCTTGCAAATTTCTCAAATTATAAAAGTAATATTCACTATAAACTCTAAACACAGCCACTTGCCAGACTAACGCCGGTCTATAAAGCGCAATACGATACAATCGACTAGGAAAGCATCGGATATTTACAGGTCTTGTTGCTTGTTTGTCTGATTTCTACTCCGTTATTATATTACATTAAACGTCGTATTTCCTCTTTACAATCGCGCAGTGTCAGTAAACTTTTTATCTGGGCTCGAAGGACCAAAGCTATAATCATTATTACAAGAGTTACGGTAACTTTATGGCGCCTCGATAGCTTTGTTTGTAATCTAAGTACCTTTTCTTATGCCTAATGCCGTCAATACGCGGTACATTCTAACTGACAGATTATATGCCCTTTAACTTACTGCTATCAATCCAATTATTCAAAAAATATTATCTATTCTGGACAGGTAGTTATAATGAGACCGAAATTAGCTTATAGTTTTTTTATGTAACTTAGAATGGCAAACAAGCTGACGGCCCACCTGATGGAAAGTGGTAACCGTCGTCTATAGACATGAGCACTACCATGGATATAACAAAATATACTGTTTCGCCCATGTAACCTCCCATGCGTTGCCATTCATGAGGACTCAGGTATTATTCCTTTGTACCCTGTAAATTCCCTGCCACATCTCACCCTTCAAACCAAAACACGGCCATGCAAACACAACTGCTTCACGGTAGACACACGAATGGGTGCATTCTAAGCTTCAGCACTTATTTTAAACAATTAGTCCGTAGCAAGTAGGTACGATCGGATTTCTGTATACGCATACTGTTGTCTCAAGAATTTTTATCTTTATGATGACTTTTATAGGTAAATAAGAGTTGTTAATAGAATTTATCGTGTTTAATAAATAATTAAGAATAATAATAGATTATTAATGGATACGAGTAAATGACTTATAGATGAGCTTCTTCAAGCGTGTAACCAAAAAAATTATAACAAAAACGCGTACAATATGCTATGGGGTTAGACTTAATTAAACCATAAGAATAAACAAAGATATGGCCTGGAGCAATTCTGGCTGGATAATGTATAAATTAGTTGCACCGACAAGCGCAAAGTCTTGAAAAAAAAAGATGAATAAACAATCTCTTATGGTTTACATAGTTTTGGAATAAATATGAAAAACTGTAATCCACATATCTCAAAATTGTTTATGTATAAATAATATAAGAGACTTGAATAAACTCAATGCGAAAGTAACGTATTAGGTATAAATGTTATTTAAATAGGTACGTTATTTCTGTAAAATGACCGTATGGGCGGTATAAAATTTCGTGACAGGGTGAAAATACGAGCAGAACCTATTAAATAAATATTGTTTGAAATTGTATGGACATGGAGGAAGTAAAAGATGTATGTCAAAATACAAATAAATGATGCTATATGATATTTGCTTATTCAAAAATAGAAAGCATGTTATTTTATAACGCAAAATATTGCATTATACTGTAAATGATTTTTTATTAAAAACCACTAGTCCAATTAATTCGTTATTTATCTTCCCCAGAAGGCAGTTGCGACCTAGTCCGGTGCGGTGGCGATAAACGGTGCGTTTTAGACGCGGAGTTGGGAGCGCATTGCGTGCGATGCGGTGGGTGTAACGTAGCTGGGGCGCCGGTATGTGCGGTTGATGGGAAGACATACGCGGGCGCTTGTGCCTTGAGGAAGGCGGCTTGTGAACGAGGACGAGCTCTGCCACTTGCATATAGAGGGTCTTGTATAGGTAAGTTTTGACCAGACATAGTTACATAGTTGAAGAGAAGATGTAAAGAAGTACATACTAGCCACCTCCCATTATTTTAAAATTTTTACCTTCTCTTAGTGTAATATAATTTTTAACAAATTATAATAAAATCGTAATTAATACCAGTCTATTTCTCACCTCTACACGAGAAATATAAACTCAACATCATTCATTCAACAAACATTTCAACAAAAGTTCAACTAAAAAATTGATGTAGGTATGTTTTTTTTATATTTGAACGTGCTATTGTTAGTCAAACTTTTAAATATTTTTCGACATTAATCTCAGTCGAAGCCTCTTTAAAGTCTAATTTAAAACCAGAAATCGTCATGCAAAGTGCATGCAGTTGTGATGTTTATTGAACTCCATATCTGTGCTCTACACCCCATAGCGAATCTTAGGACTACAACCACAAATTGTATGCACTAATTGATAAAACACTGCCGACCACACAGCGAACGCGACATGCGCCAACATCCGGTGCGGCGCTGGGCAGCGGTGCGTGGCGGGCGGCGCGAGCGGCGCGCGCTGCGTGTCGTGCGGCTCGTGCGGCGGCGGCGCGCGACGACCGCTGTGCGGCTCCGACGCCCGGACCTACCCGTCGTGGTGTCGCCTGCAGCGAGCCGCCTGCCACGCTGGCCGCGTCGTCGATCCTCTCCACCCTGGTCCTTGCAAAGGCAGGTTTTTTTTTTTGGATGGGTGAAAATGGTATGGTGACCCCGCCTACGCTAACGGGATACGCTGTCAGAGCGCTGTCAGAGATGAGAATGAAAACAGGCCAGTTAGCCCATCATGATAAATTCATCAGGAATTAATCATGATAGTTTCCAGGAGAAAACGCGAGGAGGTCAACTTGGTTGGGTATATTGCTAGCAATGGGATTCTCAGTCTCCATTACTAACAATCCCTTTTCCCCCTACAAAGGCAGATTCTATTAACTATACCTCTTAGACAATTGATTAAAATACTCGCAACCGCACCGTCTTCTTCACAACTTTGGAGACATATATGGTCAAAGAGCCCGAGAATTTATTGAAACTCATTGTTGTTGGTCATAAGTCGGCTCCGATGCGCGGACGTACCCATCGTGGTACCTCCCTGCTCTGTCCTCTGATCTTTGTAAAAGTATATTTATTTACCTTCTAGATAAATTAAGTAAATTATGTATACGGTACGCAGAAGAAAGAGCAAGATGCCATTCGTAACTGTCTCGTTTTATCTCATATACATTGTAGCGATAACATATCTATCGATAGATACATTTGCTGCTTGTTTATGAACAGTTCTGATGAAATTAAGATCGCTATTTTCAAAATGTACATTTTGTATACTTTACATATTTTTACTATTATAATTTAATATTATAATTAATAACTTTGTTATGTTAAAACTTTATGAGTTGTCTGAGGTACTTAACTTTTCAGGTATTGTAGAATAACAATTTGACTTGAAGTATCTCAATGGAATTGTATTGGAGACACGACAATTTTTATTCTAGGACCACAGGACAAAAAATTACTACATATTTATAAGATTATCTCGAGCAAAGCTGCAAATTAATTATTTTTCATTTCAGGTAAAAATACAACGGACTATAGTGTGACTCGTGAGAGGAAGGAAGCAGAGGTGGACACAACGCGCGTCCTATAGTCATAAAGTAGATTTAGTTGTTAGCTTCGTAGGTGTTCACTTGAGGTACACAATCAAAACTCGCTCTCGAACGACGAATTATGAGTAACACGATTCTCGATCAGATATATGCAATTCTTAGGTACCCGATTTTGAAATCTATTCATTATATGAAATTACTCGTACTTATTCTTAATCTAATTAAAAAGCAATTGGAAAAAGTATTCTGCATCTAGAGAAAGACATACACAATGAAATTATAAATATAATTAAGGGTGATTAATTTTTTTTAAATACTGTTATTAAATAAGTTATTACTAAAAAAAAAATATTAGCTTACTTAAAAAGCTTTGCTGATAAAGGAATTTATAGCAAGGCTCACTATATTCTCCTTTATCAGAAACTTTTTTGCATAAAGAAATACTAGAAAAAATGTTTATTATATGTCGTAAATCCATTTAAACGAATGTGTATTAATTTATTTAATGAATGAAACCGTAAAATTGATAATAAAAGATCGAGTTAATGCGAGAGATGGTAGTCAGCCTAAATGCAGTCTCTTGCATTACCATTATCCGAATGATCAATTTAAATTGATGCTATTTTTTTATCGACCAAAAAGCTGCGATGCTATATAATTAAATTAAAAAATAAATATGTCTATCTCTTTATGCGAAGAAACCTTTATCCATAGGGTACATTAAAATAATGTAGAACTGAATACTACTTTTATATAATTGTTTAAAATACATATATTAGAATGATTCAATATTTACATAGGTAAATTTATTGTATTATCAAAACAATACATATTCAATTTTATCTACTCCAAATACATTCAACTTTATTATGAACTAATGTCATTAGTAGCGGGAGTAAGTGTCAACGAGCACCAAACGACTGTATCGCCAAGTCATTACGTGCCACATTAACCGGACTTAAAAAAAAATCTTAGATAGTATTATAAAATAGTTTTAAACAAAATTTATCGGAATGCACGTTTTTGAACTTTGTAGATAAATAATAAATAGTTTTTAATAATTAACACTTACATTATTAAATTTGAGCACCAAATCGTACTTAATATTTAGTCAAAATATTACATAAGTGGGTAGTTAGCACAATAGTAATGAAATTCTAATTTCCGTCTCTATGAGCGCCACTGCGAACGAAGCTTGTTTTAGGATGAAATGATATATAGTAACACTTCATCGAACTGACATACCTAATTGTTCTTTTTAATTACCTATTAACTCCTAGTATTTTAAGACTTAATTTTAAAACACGAAACGTGGTTAACGCTTAATGCAATATTTATTATTAAGTTATGAATGTAAAGTTTAGTGCAATAATATTATTGAAAATTGTATGAAAATTTATGTTACGTGTTTTGTTTTGTTTGTTTTACAAATGGACCGAGTTTCGTATATCGTACATTTTGATTGGGACATTTTGAGAGTGTTATTTAATACGTTGTCAGTATTACGTGTATGTAAGATTTTTAGAATATCTTTATTTTCGAAACGTTTTATATTGGAAATTAAGTGATGTTTAATAATATACTGATAGACTGTAGATAAAAGTAAAGTAATTTATTGTTACTTTTAAATTATTTCCAAAATGATTTCCAAGTTTTTTTTTTTACGTGTTATTAACTATTTGTGGAATTGTCGTGTGAATTGTAGTGTCAACGTGATGCCACTTTTAGTAAATGACTTTCTTGACGTCCTTTTTAGCTTTAAATATTTTAAAAGTTCGAATTATCTATCAATATTGTATTTCTCTACGTTATTAAGGCGCATTACTTACTAAAAATAACAATCTGAAAAATTTTGGAACTTTTACCATTACCATAAAAATATTAAATACCTTTTTTTATACTTTTACATGAGTCATTTAAAATATTCCATAGTAATTCCATAATGTAATCAAATATAAGCACGGTCTAAATAACTCTTATACAAATAATTATGTAAACTAGATATCGTCTGATAATCATTAGACCAATAATAATTTTCATGTGTCATTTATTTTACAAAACAAATAGAAATAAAAAAAATTCCTTAATTTTTGAAATAATAATAATTATCCTATCTGAAATAAATAAAAATTAAAAACCAAAAATTTGGCAGTTCAGTGTTGTAATTCTTAGTAAGGGAAACCTCTTATAAGATGTAAACCTCACTGGAACTGCATTACAATCTAGTAAATAATAAGCTAACAACACAAAATATATACGACTATGAAATATACTGCATACCAGCTGTTCTTAACCTTTTTGGTTGGCGACCTAATATATTTTAAGCCCTCATCCGTAATGTTTTATTTATCTTGCAGTGATAATAAAATAATAGGATTATCTAAAAGCCCATAGTTTGCTAAAAATATATAAAAAAAAAAACAAAATCATTGTTTTGGTTTGTTGTAAAAAATGTTGTAAATATAAATTTCACCATTTTTTATAATGTCATTTGGAAAGTTCCTGTGACCCGAATTTAGGTTGCGGCCTGAGGTTAAGAAACGTTGCTATAACTATAGCTCATCAACTAAATTCGCGGCACTCCTAAGGGGAGTGCCGCGAAGTCACTTCCGCATTGGAAGGTTATTATGTATAGTAGAATGAGAAGGTATTTTTCCCTTCCCTGCTACACTCTGTTTCTTACTTCATAATCCCGTGGATATTATACCTTGCCACTCACATGCCTCACGGGTATACGAAGTTGATGAAATAGAGTATTTGTGACAACACATTCTGTAACTTTGTCACATCGATACGTGATAGAAATAAAATTAATGGTTTTCATGTTATTTTAATGGTTTCAAAATAATTAAAAGAAAACACTGCAATTTTCTGAATCAGAAAAACAAAGGATACCTATATAAATGGAAAAATCTTGAACCATATAACTCATGACATGACATACTTTAACGGCAAGCTACTTATCGTGATTTAACGCAACACCTATTTTACCTCGGATTGAATTCTTTCAGTATATTGCAGTGATTTCACTTACAGCCTACATTTATAGGCAATACTGCATGTAAAACAATGTTTTTGATAATTTTCTTTATTAGCTTATAATATTAACATTAAATATTATTTTATTGAATTTTACATTGTGCATACATTGCAACTAATACAGTGTAACTATAGTTCCATTATAGAAGGTTTCCTTATAAAAATTAATGTCACAAATTGTAAGATTATAAGCCCATTAACCTTTCGCGGCACTCCCAAGAATATACGGGGTACACAAACAGACATACAATCGGATCTTCACCATACTAATCTACCTACCATAAAGGATCCATATAACAATGTATAGTTTAGAAAATGGTAAACATCAAATAAGTCAATAGAATAATTATGACATTGTTCACATTTTTATGTGAAATACTAACCTATTACATTCAACATTATCATCTTGAAGAGTGTCGCAAATGAAGTTGACAAGCTATAATGAAATTGACGAACTATCGCTTGTAGTAACAAGCAACAATGCATTCATAAATCTATTCCAAATGACGTTTAAGACCTTTGCACATCAATACCATTTGCAATTAAAAATGGGCGTCCGTTGCTACCTACCTAACGTTTTTCCGTAAGAGTTAACAAAAGTGGATTTTTTCCCGTACCATTGAACCAAAAGCAGATTCAATTAGAATTAGATGCGCTTTACAAAACATTTTTTTAATAATCTTTCGAGTGTTTAATTTTATATATATATATACCACAAAAGTGGCAAAGTATACGGCCTGTCTGATGGTAAACGGTTACCGCAGCTTATAGATACTCACATTCAATCATCCCCATTGGCATTCCTCTAGTAAAATTAATAATTTGGAAGACTTATTTGCCAAATCGCATGATGCAAGTCACAACATTCACAACAATAAAACCTCGCGAAAATGGAACTAATCCAGTAAATTAGACATGACATGATAAGTACCTATTTATACATAAAAAAAAAGTCCAAAGATGTTTAAAAATAGGTACATATAGAACGCCAAATAATGTTTGATATGGTTACAAATGTAATGTTTGATTTTTCTTCGTAATGTGATTGTGAATGTATATTTTTAGGTGTACTTCGAAAAGATTTATTATGTATATCTTTCTTATTATAGGGAATGTGGACCGACTAATGCATACTGGCTCTCGTCAATTATTTCCTAGTGCTATTAAAGTTGTTAACTGTGTCTGACTATAATAATACTAAATTGTTGTAGTTAAATTCATTGCAAACATTAGATGTATAATATATTGTCCTTGTTTCTTCATAAATATTTTACACTATTTCATCGTATTTTATTTATCCTTGACTTAAGCAAATTGCTAACATGTTTTAATGAATACAAATGGAATGATTCCTTTCCCGTAGGTGTCGTGAGAGGCGATAAAGGATTTAAATGGTCAAGGGATGGGCAGCAGCGTCCCTCATAAAATATCACTAAAGCCTAACTGCAGCTGACAAGCCTGGCGACTACTGGCAAAACTCCCTTTATAGGAGGTTTAACAGTAAACAATTATATTATTAATGATAATATTATAATAATGATGATAATGAAAGGAATGGTAACCTTCCTACGCTATCGATATACGCTGACTAGGCAAGCAGTACATTTAGCATTATTTCAAGCTACCCTAGCTAGAAATAATTTAGATTGTGTTCCATTAAAAAATACCTAAAAACCAAATTACTGAACAGATTTTGATAAAATTTCTGTGAAACTAATCTATAATTATTTTTTTAACTGCAAGGATATAGCAGCTAAAAAAAGAATTCTCCAAATCAGTTTATAACTAACGGAATTATGAGGTAACAAACAAAAAAAATACAATCGAATAAAGAACCTCCTTCATTTTGAAATCGGTTGAAAACCAATATTATAAACCTACGGCTAGCAAAGGATAAAGTCAAAACTAAAAACTAGTATTCAGCAAACCGCAGACCAGAGGGAGACTTTGTACAAAAGTTGATTGCTTGGGAACCTCTGTCCCATTCGTGTTTCTACTGTGAAGCAGTTGTGTTTGCATGTCTGTGTTTCGGTTTGAAGTGTGGGATATGGCGTGAATTTACTGGGTACAGAGGAATAACACCCGAGTTCTCAGGAATGGCAACAGTATAGTCTGTTATGTCCATGGTACTGCTCATGTCTATAGGCGACGGTTACCACTTTCCATCAGGTGGGCCGTCAGCTTGTTTGCCATTCTAAGTAGTATAAAAAATCTTCTATCTTTCTAGTACAACGTACTAGAAAGGAGCAACTTATAATAAATATTAAAGAAATATAAACATTTTTATATACTTTCAAATGTTACTAGTATTATAGTACTCTTCAGCCTTATTTTTTTACTACAGCCTATTTATTACTGTACTCTTCAGCCTTACTCGCATGAATTATACAATACTGAATACACTGAATTATACTGGATAATAAATATCCAGGCCGCTAGTTTAACAATGTGGTCAATTCTGAGGCGTCATTTCAATAAACTTATATCCAAAATTAAAACGTCAACTTCATATAACAATGAAATTTTTATTAAAAGGTCCTATATAAACTTATATATATAATTTAAATAAATTAATAAAATAAATAATTTTAGTTTCTAATAGTCCGTAAAACAGTAATTTAGCAAAATTATCAAATTAAAAAATTTTATCAAGAGATAAGTTTACAGAAATATTGCCTCAGAATCGGCCCCATTGCCTTCCCTCGCTAAAAGTACCTTCTTAGGATTCCGTACCAAAAAGGTACAAAGGAACCCTTATTGTGCGACTCTGTCCATCCGTCGATTTGTTACAGCGTTATACATATCTCAGCAATTACTATTGCCACATATTGTAATGGAAATAATAGAAAATAGTTTTTTTTTTTTTTAATATCTATCTGTCATCAACCATTTTACTGGCTATAATTATATCTCTTTAGGATGTGTATTTAGTTTTTGGGATTTTTTCGTCCAATGACGTGACATCCCCTCCATTACATCTATAGACGGTCCACTTAAAATTTAGCCAGGCGTGCTCTTTTCAGACGGAACGCATCACCACTGGTATTTAAAAACTTTAATGCTTGGTTGTTGGTATGGTATTGAAATCTTTGCTTGTATGCCACTCATGACTTATTAATTTCCTCACTCACAATTGGGATATCTTAATATTGTGTACCTGTTTCAGGTATTTAGGTTATCTTTACACCAAGCTAATTAATATTTTATCCGGAGAATATGAACAATTTTTCAAGAAAAAAGAAGTTCATGTTAAATCTAAATTCACGGAATGGGCAACAGTAGGAATACTTAAAAGTAGAAATATTTTGTTTGATTTATACGATCAAAAAAAATATCGATTTGATGACAAATTCACCACTTATGTAAAAAATTATTCTAAAATTTTTAAAAAAGTTTGTATTATGGCTAAGTCTAATTATTTTAATAAACAAATTAAGCAGTCTTCTGACAAAATTAAAACCATCTGGAGCATTATAAATAAAGAAACTGGAAGATCTAAAATAGCCTGTAATCAATTTACATTAAATTATGATAATAAATTAATAACAACAACAAAAGATGTAGTTAATATTTTTGAAGATTTTTTTGCTAATATTCCGATTGATATTACATCTTCTCTGGACTCATCTCAATCTCGAGCAAAAAAATTACTAGAGACTAATATCGGTTGTTGTTCTTTAAGATTTAAATTTTCACATGTTAGCCCCTTTCATATCATAAAAATATTCAAACAGCTAAATTTAAAAAATACGGAAGACCTTTGGGGCATGTCTGTAAAAGTAGTTAGTTCTTTCATAGATATTGTTGCTCCATATCTAGCCACTATTTTTAATAAATGTATTGATAATGGCGTTTTTCCACATTTAATGAAATTTAGCAAATTAATCCCACTATTTAAATCAGGAGATAAATTTGAGCCAGGGAACTATAGACCTATATCTATTTTGCCAGTTCTAAGTAAGGTGTTTGAAAAGATAATGTTAAATCAAATGTTACATCACTTCAGGGTTAACGGACTGCTTCACAGTCAGCAATATGGTTTCACCGCCGGCAAGTCTACCACTGACGCAGGTGTTGCGCTAATGACACATATTTTCGAATCTTGGGAGAGGTCACAGGATGCACTCGGAGTTTTTTGTGACCTATCAAAGGCATTTGATTGTGTGGATCATAAAACGCTTTTGTACAAGCTCGAACATTATGGTATAAGAGATAATGATCTAAAATTAATGAGAACTTATTTAGAGGATAGGGTTCAAACTGTAGATATTGACGGTGTAAAATCTAAGGGAGCTAATATTAAGATGGGCGTTCCACAAGGGTCAATCTTAGGCCCCTTTCTCTTTTTAATCTACATAAATGACCTTCCCTTTATGGTAGAGAAAATTGCAGATATAGTGCTGTTTGCGGATGATACTTCGTTAGTGTTTAAAATTGGACGTCAAAGTAATCAATTAGACGATGTAAATTGTGCTATGTCTGCAATATTAAATTGGTTTACATGTAATAACCTATTATTAAATTCCAGCAAAACAAAGTGTATAAAATTTACACTTCCTAATGTAAGACTAATAAATACACAGTTATTGCTTAATGACGAAATAGTAAATTTTGTTAATGATACAGTTTTTTTAGGTATAACAGTGGACTCGAAATTACAATGGGGGCCCCATATTTCAAAATTGGCCAGTAGACTCAGTTCTGCTGCATATGCAATTAGAAGAATTAGGCAATTAACAGACGTGGCGACGGCTAAACTTGTATATTTTAGTTATTTCCATAGCATAATGTCTTATGGCATACTGCTGTGGGGTAAAGCAGCCGATATAAATACTATATTTGTTTTACAAAAGAGAGCCATACGTTCTATTTATGGTATGGGTTCAAGAGAGTCATTACGTCAGTGCTTTAAAGACTCAAATATCCTCACAGTTACTTCACAATACATTTATGAAAATATTATGTATACACGGAAGAACTTAGCGAGTTTTAAAAAACTCAAAGACTGTACAAGTAGAAACTTACGCAATATAAATAAGCTTATTTTACCTAAATGCCGTCTGCACAAAATCAGTAATTCATTCTATGGTAATTGCATAAGATTTTATAATAAACTGCCGGAATCTGCATTAAATCTGACAGAGAGGCAATTCAAATCTTATATTAAACAATTTTTATGTAAGAAAGCCTATTACAGGATAGACGAATTCATAGATGACAACATATCAAGTAAATAATTAGTTTATTAGCATACAACGTTATAATTTTTTTTTCTCATTGCTTTCTTGATTTAATTGATTAATTTTAGAAATATGAAAGCGTAGCGGTTTTTTGTATTAATTGCCGCATGCATTCTTATGTAAAATGTGAATACTATAACTATCAGATGGCAATTGTGAGTAGCTTTGACGTGGTCTAGTGTTTTGAGTAGTCATGCTCACTAAAATGTCCAGACTTGTGGCGGCGTGGTGGGCCGGGTCATTGGGCTCCCTAAAATATGGTCGAGCGCAGTGATGGCTGGCTCATCCGTCATACTCGTGAACGGGTGCTGCTTGTAGGGACTGGTCTGCTCTAATCACTATGACTGATTTCCTCTTATTAATTGTTTAACCAGTTGGTTATGTATTCAATTTTTTTTTTCTTTTTGAGTATTTAATTGAATTAGTGCTAATTGGTGGTTTGTATTCACACAATTAAACTTAAAAATGTAAAATAATAATAAAATTATTTAAAAGAGCATCACGCAAGTTTCTTGCTCGTTCTTCTTGTGATGAGACAGCTTTCCGAACGAGCGGTAAATTAAAAAAAAATGTAATGACTTTTCAAAAGTGCTTCAATGTAAGTTTATTTGAATAAATGATTTCTATTCTATTCTATTCTATTCTATTCAGGTAAACCATGGTGCATTTGTAATAAAAATTTAATTTTTAAACATACATTATTGCATTATATTCCTTTCATAATACAATTAAATAAAAAAACAATTACAAACAACGGGCAACCAGGCAAATAGAGCAACGATTCTTTGTTAAATGTTCAATGAAAATTAAATGGTGAAAATTATTATTATAATCTACAATCCCATAAATTGCCCAACATAATGACAATGGGCTTATAAGGACGATGATGTATAAAACATTACAGTGCAAGTATATTTGTAATCTATCAGCATTTTAATAATCCATTTAGACCCTACCGCTGGGGACAAGTCTCTCATCATAAAAGGAAGTAATAAAATTATTCCCAAATAGTTTAGAAAGTAGTTTATTCTGATCGTTGATTATAGAACTACGAACAAATTTGATGCGCGATTTTCATACAATGTATTAAGTACAAAATTTATTTATTAATATTGAAACTTTTTATTTTCACTTTTGTACAAAATACCACATCAAATATTTGACATCAAAAAGGGCAGCAATCAACAAAATAAGCGTTTTCACTTAATAGTTTTATCCTTAAATATATCTAAATATTGTTTTATAATTAATGGAGTTTGGTATTGTGTTTCATTAGAAAGTTATTCCTTTCTGCGTAAACGGTGATCCCCAATTTTCCAACTGGCATATTTAGAGAATTAAGTTTCTTACATCATTCACTCAATACCATACAAAGAAAAAATAATTTTACTAACATAAATGTTTTTCTTTTAATGATCCTAATATCATATTTATAGTATTTAATTATCGAAGTAACACACTTATGTGATTTCACAATTATTTATTGGAATGTTCATAGTGCAAATTATGTACGATCGCGTCCACAGGATTTTCAATCACTCAGTTACTTGGAATATCAAAAACAATTACGAGTAAATCTGATTAACTCGACAAATTATTTTGTTCGCCACACGTGATATAAAAAAGAAGCAATATAAACACATAATGTAATTCACTTAGAAATATACTTAATACTAAATAATAAGGAAATCTTGGTGGCAATGACACAATATATATTATGTACTCTTATAAACGTAGTGATATAAGAGTGAGCACGTTTTCAATCCTACAAAACTGTAGCGCCCATTATATATCGCGGACTTCAAACCACAATTTTGTAAATGCAAAAACTATTTTCGACATACAAGTAAATATACAATTACTATTTAGTTTATTATTATGCATTTTATATAATCAAAGTACTTTTATACATCTAAATTTGATTTAAATTTGGCTCAATGCATAAAGTGTTGTTATACTTTTCTTGAAGATTTTACCATATATGTAAAATCACCCCTATATTTTAAATGGCCAATTCCTTACAACCATCAGTGATCATCCAACATAAGAGTATCATACGAGACCGCAAGCATCTCTTGTAAAAAGATTCTATGTAAACACCTATACTACGTTATGAGCACCACCGGAGTGGATGTGCCCTAACGTTAATATAAAAGAGGCCTTATAGTTCAGTCAGTGAAACTGTCGTTCAGAGATTTCAAAAATAGAACCCGAATAAAAACCTTGATGCAATTTTTAAATCGATTTTTATGAAATAACTATCATTTAGAAAACTCTTAAGACTGTACGACGCCAAGTTCACACTTTAAATATTACATTACCGAATATCCAGTCATTTTTCCATTAATCATAGGTAACTGCAAAACGACCATCAAATTCTATTCTCTAATAAGCGCCAAAATTATTACCTATTAACTAATATAGACTAATAATAAATCTAATTCAATCTGAGACCATCTAACTAATTCAACAAAAATAAATGATACATCCATTACAGTATACATATATAATTGGCATTATTAACTATTGCTATCGTTAACACAATAACTTATTTAAAAAAAAAGAGCACGATTTTTGTTCTTAAAATTACAATAATTACTAGAATAACTAAATTAAATTACACTATAAATAGATATTTACTTAATAAGAAATAATAGTTTAAAAATTAAAAAAAAAAACGTATTCTATGACTTATTTAAAAAATATCTCGACAAATGTAACATACTTTGTGATGTTCGTGGTGCTTATTATGTCTTTAAGCGACGGTCTCCAGTTTCCATCAGGTGGGCCGTCAGACTACTTACAGTTCTAAGTTGCTTAAAAAAATTGACGGCCGTAAGCCGCACGTTGGTTGCATATACGCACGCTGAAATACGGGCACTCGAGTTACGTTCACCACAACGGTAACAGTCGATAAATGTATCGACTACCAGATATGGATTTTACAATTTAATAAGCATGTTTTCTCGTCAATCTACATATTATGTTTGTTGCTGCCTGCCCTAATGAGAGACAGGCGTGACAGATATGTATATATGTATGTATGTATACTGTAAATGTGGAATTACATTTGTTTACCCTTGGCGTTTTACCAATCGCCACAAATTTGTAATACACGTATTTAGGATGGAGAAGGACAAGCAACTATTTATCCCGGTCAATCAATATAACTAGGTCATATGAAGTCGCGGATAAAGACTAGTTATTTAAATAAATTTATTTAAGGTCTGTACTAATATTATAAAGATCCATATCGAGGGATTGTTGGGAATGAGGATCTAACATCTCCATTGCCAGCCATATACCCTGTCAGGTCGACCTCCACGTGGTCCCCCCTGGAAACCATTGTGCTCAATTGCAGGTGTATTTATCACGATGGGTTAACTGACCTGCTTTTATTCTCACGTATCGTCTCTGTTGGTGCCTCGCCAGCGTATACTGATAGCACAGGCAAGGATACCATTCCATTATCACCCATTCAAAAAATATTATGAAGAAGTAAATTTGTAAGTTTGGATGTTCGGAGTAATCTCCGGTACTACTGATCTGTTTTTAAAAATTATGCCTAAGTGTTATAGGCTACTTTTTATTTTTGTAAGTATATATTTTGCATAATTAATCATAATAAATGTAATTAAAGTTAGTAAAAATTTTATAATAAGGCGTGCGCTGCCTGAACGGTTTGAAATAAAGGAATAAAATCTATAGTAAAAATTTTCATTACTTTTAGCTTTACAAAAAAAGTCCCCGACACCATATATCTAAGTTTAATATTTCAACCAAAAAGATGATTTTAAGTTAAAAGTAAATAAATTTTACAAGATACGAAGTTTGGATACGAATTTGACGAATACTTTACAAACTTTTATAAAAACAAATAGGTAAATCAAATTGGAAATTTCATGGAGATAAAGTTTACTTTTTACAACATGTTAATTTATTTGGTTGGTCTGAAAATAATGCGAAATATAAACAATAAACCGGTAAAATTATTGCATTATCGCGGCTACTGAGTGCGAGAATAGTAGGCAGGGCATGAAGATAAGGGGCGTAGGAGGAATTATAATAAACGGACGAGCATCATATTCCTAAATAGGTCGTTCATTTTGAAATCTTAAAGAATACTAGTGCAGTACTTTCACACACGTCAAAATACCAACCTTACTAAAATGTGTTGAACAGTTAAAAAGTTACACAAACAAATATTGCACCAGTGTGAAGCCGGAGGGGATCGCTAGTCGATTGTACAATCTGTCAAATAAGAGCGTAGTCAGAATAACTCATTTTTAAGTAAACGAATCGGACGAATTCTTTTGTACGCCGATAGATGCCACCTTTCTGCTTGATGTATTGTTGAGAAAGTTTCAGTTTATGTCGATCATTTATCGCAGAAACACGTTACTCACAATGAGCGTTGCGTACGCTTCGCGTTACAAGGTTGTGTTCCTTTGAGCCTAAAGGTCCGAAAATGTCGCAAACAGCCACTGTCAAGTACATGCGGAAGTCAAAACCATTCGTGCAGAAATGGGTACAGCAGTATAATGAGACAAAAACTGTTGACGACTTGCTAGAACGTGGCTCGACAAGTAACTCCTAAAGTCGATCAAGTCACAGTAAACTTATTTTTGCGCAATTTTAATCTAACATTACGACAGAGATAGATAAAATTGCGCCAAAAGGGGTATGATATATCCTATGAAACTATACATAAGCATCTCCGTGATCACGACATCAAATAGCGCACTACAGTAAAGAAAACTTTACTAAGTGAAAAATAAATGACGAAACCACTTGCCTGGGCGAAGGAAAATGTCATTCGGGATTGGAGTAATGTAATTTTTTAGACGAAGCGTCTGTCTGAGCATAATTTTCCATACCTCGAGTCTGGTCAACCCCCAACAACAAATTGGTACAGCGGACTATAAAACAACCTGTAAAGATTAATTTTTAGGGTTACTTCTCAGAACAGGGTTTTGGGCCATTGAACTTGTTTACCTACAATCTAACTGCTTCAAAAATGATTAAAATTTATAATAAATCATTGTTACCGGCTACTAACCGCTGGTTCATTAACAAAAATGAGGAGTGGATCTTACAAGAAGACAACGACCCCAAACACCGTAGCAAACAGTGCGCTGAGTGGAAGGAGCGGTCTGGCATTGTCATATTGGATTGGCCGTCTCAACTGCCCGACGCCAACCCAATTGAAAATGTTTGGGCGTACGTCATGCGGAGGTTTCGTGGAAGGAGAGTATACACTTCAAAACAGTTATCTCAAGAAATCCCTGGCATTTGGAGGTCTTTACTACACGAATACGCCATAAACTTGGTCCAAAGTATGCCTAGGAGATGCCAAGCAATTATCGACGCCAATGGTGACTGGACGTGTTATTAATATTATTGCATCCTCACCTGAATCAAGAACAATGACTTTATATATATTTTTTATTTATATTAAACTTTTCTACAAATTAAGCTGACTACGCTCTTACTTGAGGGACTGTATATAATTTAATCAACCAACATAATTCATTCCAGGGAAATCGCATATGAGCTCATGACCATGGTGTTAATAATGCCCCAAAAAATAGAACAAATATGAAAATCCATCATGGCAAGTTTTAAAAAACATATACATTTTCCCAAAAGTAGAAAAAATACAGTCCTTAATATTACACAAAGAAATCTTTAATTAAGTGAAGCTCACATTCAGTTAACACGATTAGTAACTTTTAAAGTGGTAAACTTAAGGATATCCTAGTAAATTGTAAATATACCTTGCAAATTTGACTATTGTGTACAGTTGTAAAACTGTAGCATAATTAGAAAAATCCTTTGATCTCGTTTAAAGAAACGTGTAAAGAGTAACATTTTAGAAAGATATGACGTATGAAAGCTTATTGAAACATGGATTTTCGCGATAAGAGTCTTGAAAGTAGATTGTTATGCGTAGACGAGTAACGTGTAACAGCTAAGGATTCAGATGTAATTATATTACTTCGCGGAGTGCGTAATAAATATATTTAGTAGAATAATAAATATCGTGAATACATAACGGTAATATACCTAAGTGATGCTCGCTACACAACCATAAATCTTATTTATAAATAAAGGCTTATAAAATCCAAAACTAATTTGACCATTTCGAAATTATTATGTGAGTAAAATCTATATAAATAATTATATTAAATATTGTTGATTCCGCACGCATTTTGCATATTTATATTTTACTAAATTAGATGTTATAACAAAATAATTGTAATCAACTAACCAATATCACATGTTTTTGCCAGTTCTGTATGATAACGCCACGCTAAATACCATGTCTCCATAACCTTAGAATTCTTTAAAGTCCTCAACTCTACACTCAGGTATAAAAAACAATGTTAGAAAAATTTAATTAATTCAGAGCACATAATCACTAACACTTCACTCGTGAGCATCCTGTTGCATAGTCGTTCTCGTAAACAAGTTCATGGTGAGTGCACTTAGAAACACAGGTATAGAGTGATGGTGTTGCAAATGCAACTCCACTAGCTCGGACAATGTTTCTGCATAGTCAGTTTGTACCATTTCTATTCCATCCTCACAGAGAGTGAATGTTAAATACTCTTCAGCGGATTCTGCATACATGTTTGAAATTCTGAAAAGAATATTCATTTTATTTATTTTTAAATTAGCCACATGAAAACATGTTTTAAATATATATGGAACCTGGGTCACATCATTTATACAATATAATAAAAAAGCTAACATGAAGTATTATTTAATTTCTTAGCATTTTATTTTGTTTTTTGAGACAAACTAAATTCCGAGTTTAACATTTAAACTCAAGTCAAACATGTTGAACTTATTTAACACTAATTAAAACGAATACTGAATATTAACTTACACTTACCTATAATTATTATGTCCAGTCCTATCAATTTTATAACCTAATAACATGTAGACAACATCTTTATACTCTTGTGCACAAGATGTGTATTCTTCCTTCATTCTGTAAGAGATAAGAGAATAATTTTAATAAGAGAATCAGTTTATAAATTAATAACAACATGTAATAATTTGTTATAAATATTTTATATTACATCCAAATCTTGGAGTTGTGTGTGGCTAGTTATTATACTATTACTTATTATTAATTTTGAAACTATGGGGTATAATCACATACCTATTTTATATAACTACTTAGTTCCAGAAGAAATAAGTAGTTATATAAAATAAATGCTCGATTCAAATGCTTATCAAAGACTTATCAAATAAAGCCTTATTAAGATTACATAAGGTTTAATTTGGTCAAGTTTTTGTCGATCACAGTCATTAGATTTTTACTTAAGTTAATCTCATGCCAGATAAGGCAAAATTAATTCAAAGAAATTTACTTCCATACTAGAATGTTCTAGTGCTTTAAATAAACAAGATGAAATTACAAGTCTTACCTTTTTAATTTAATACGGCTATTCTCAAGTTGCTGCTTTAACTGCTGCATTTCTTCTGGACACGCGACATTCCCCCCCTCTCGTAATGCTGCTGTCAACCTTTTTATCTGTTTTATGCAAAAAGTGTTACCATATTTAAAATTCATTACTGTTTGTATATATAAAAAAATAGTGAATAAACGCAAAAGTAATGATAACTGCTTACCGTCAGGTTATATGTCGTTCGAAATTGCATATAAAAACATTAACATATAATATTAATAAGAAATATATTTTAGCTAGAACTGAGCTAAATATCTTAATAGTCTATATAAAAATAATACAATTTTCTACTATGTGCAACTAGAAGCAGGCTTTTGTGTTATGTTAAAAAATTTGGAATAATGAAACATAAGAGTAAAATTTTTTTAATAGTATGTAGCACATAACAAAGATAATTATCCTTACTAATACTACAAATATAAAAATGAGTTTGTTAATATATAGCACCTTGATGGATTATCCAATTCACTATGAAATTTGGTATATGTGTACTATATAGAATGGATAAGGATATTATCTCAGTCGGTGAATATATTATGATCACGCGGACGTAGTCATTTATAGTAGTTGCAGTATTATAATTTATTACTAACCTCCTCTTGGGCTGCCTCCAAATCTGTTTGAATTTGTTTCTGTGCTGCAGCAGCCGGGTTGTCCATCATATGTAGCACCTGATTTAAAATGCATTATATTGAAATAATAAATAATGACTATGAAAGATTTGAAAGATTTTTATATTTTTCTGCATTTACAATATATTTTTATAAACATCACTTTCTGTGTTAATTTTAGAGGACTATAGATTTCTATATACAACGCCATCTAGGAATAACAATCGTATGCCACTAAATAGTACAGACTAAAGAATAACCAGTGCACCAACTCCTTTGAAGTCTCACAAAATGCCTTCTTCACAAAGATTATAATTATCAAATAAAGTCTTCATACAATTGCATATATTTTATTCTCCTAATCTTACGTAAATTATAAAAGTGTCCATTGTGTGTGATACCTTGGTGGCTGGCTGAGCGTGCAGCCGTTCTAGATGCGCTTGTAAGACGTCCCGCTGCGCCTGTAACTTAAGCACGTCACGCCGCAGTGATTCCGCCTCCTCGCGCCACTTGCTCACCTCCGCTCGAAGACTCTCCACCTCTGATACACGATACCCATATTAATTACTAGGAGTGAAAGAAAGCTATTATTAGTAATAATGTTTAAAAGCCACATTGCTAACAATCTACTCTATCAGCTTAACCTCCGCTTGATTCTCCTTGGAAACCTCGTGATTCAGTATGTTGTGTGTGAGTTCCAGGATAATGGGCCAACTGACCTGGCTTCCTTCTCACATAGTTAACTTTCATCCTATACAAATAAGTACTAAGGGTTTTTATGGTTCAAGAATATAATTATATGTCTATTTATCAAATGCAATGTTAAAAGGTTGACAATATGAAATGGTTATGATTTAACCATCAAAGAATTAATGCAACTCTGTATGATAACCCTAAGACCTCAAATTCAGGTGCAGAAAATCAATTTATGCAGGTAGTTAAAGATATTTTTTTTTGTGACAGTATGTAACAAATATATTTAATAGTCGACAGAAGAAATATAAGAGTCCATATTTTACGAAAGCAGTGTAACCACGTTTTCCATATTAGACAGCAGTGTACATACGCTTGGTGTGGGCGGTCTGGTCGAGTGAAGCTAGTAGGTCACGGTAGGCCTGCAGTGACTTCTCTAACTGTTCTACACGCGCCGCCGCTAAGGCTGCACCCCCTACACCTCCCTCACCAGACAGCGTCACTGTGAGCTCCTTCTCATAGCAGTCCAGCTGCTGTCTGCACAAAGTCCACACAAAATTTATTTCAATATAATATTTTGTATTTCTTATAAATTACACCATATCAATTTTTATTCAAAATGACTACTAAATGGATTTCACATACACCACGGAACTTGAAAATATCAAGGGAAATACATATTCTTAAGTGGCAAACCCGTACATAAAGCAATAATTTCAGAATACATAATTTTTATTTATTATGTAACATGGCTGTGTGGTCCCGGCATAGAATAGACCACCCCTTACTTTCCCGGGAGTGTCGTGAGAACCGACTAAGGGAAGGCGAAAGATAGGCAGCAACGACCCTCTTAAAACATTTTGAAAGCCTGACTGCGGTTGCCAATCCGCCTATCAAGCATGGCAACTACTGGCAAAACCGCTTATAGACATGTACAGTACCAGAAAATTATCACATGCAATATTGCTGAAAAATATTTTTTGGAAGATATATGATGGATTGAACAAGGACAGTTAAAATACTAAAATATGAAGAAAATGAATCATTCTTACAAAAGCGTGAATGATCTAAGTTGAGCACAAATTAACACAATTTTATAACAGATTTATTACCAACAGTAAATTCCAAGTCACTATTCTGTTTTGTTGCCGACATGGATAGGGACGATTATACTATTTTCAAAGATTGCATACCTATAGCTATCTCTCTCTCTAGTGACGAGTAGCAGTCGTTTCTGGAGCCTATGTATGAGACTTTCCTGGTTCTTGCGCACAGTCTGAAGGTCATTCAATTTTGTTGCAGTCTTGTCGCGCTCATATTTCGCCGTCGCCACTTCCTGTTAAAAGGTTCGTAACAATATATGTAAGAAAGACCTGACTCCTCTCAAAAACTACCAACATCAAAAAGAAATACAACTCTTTAAAAGGAAAGCAAGTTAACCTTTTTAACTTCTTATATTTTTTTCTTCTTTTTTTTTTTCTTTTAATTTTTCTCCAATCATCTTTCTGATTTATGATAATTGGAATTATAGTGATGTATATAAATGTATGTAAGTATATGTATATATGTGTATCAGACAAATACCTCAGTGAGTTGTGCCAGTTTAGACTGTGCCTCCGAGCAGCCGGCGGTAGCGGTCAATTGACTAGTGAGCGCTGCCTCGAGCGCAGACGAGAGGGCGCGGGCATTCTCCACACCGTGGTTGCGTGCTGCTGTCTTCCACTCTTCTAATGCAGTTTCCAATGACGCAATTTTAACCTATATACAGTAATAATTAGTACTTGCAAAATGTTCACTTCAACATTTCTTTGACAACTTGATTGTACATCTTTTCACCAATTCTGAACCAATTGATAACTTTCTGCCGTCCATATTAATTTAATTTTTATTAGAATTCTATTTTACCATACGACAAAATACTGTTTAAGTAACTAACCTTAGCATCATGTAGCTTCTGTTGCACCGGTTGTAAAGCCTCGACTTTCGTAGTGAGCACATGAACCTGTTCTTCCAGCAGCAACTTATTACACACTGCATCTCGTAGTGACCTCTCATTAGCTCGAAGTCGCGTCACTTCTTTCTCTAGTTCCGCCATATTGCTAAGGCGTTTTTGGGCGGTCTATAATTTTTTTTTAATTAAAAAGTAATATACATAAACAATAAACACTATACAGTATAGATGGCAAGATATAAAAGGAAACTAGCTGAATAAACAAATATTGTATTGACTATATTGCCAAACAGGTTAAGTTTTTTATTACAGAAATAAAAACTATCCTATCTTTCAATTTGGAGCAAAAAATATAGGAACATTTACAAAATTTCATTACATTCAGTCATGCGATTTCAGATATTAGCATGAATGAACATGGTTAAATGGAATTTTTATAATATATTAAGATTACCTTTTAAAAAATAACAGGTATAATTACAAAATAATTTTCAATATTGTATAAATTTATCTAAATCAAAATACTGGTTCTAAATAGTACATTGATAGACACTGTGTGTCAAAAATAAAGACAACTCATTTATCAGTATCCAACTAATATTACAAATGCGATAATATGTAATAATCAAAAAAGTAAAAGCTCAATAGAGTAACAAACATTATAATATTATTACTCTTATGGATTCAAACAAAACTTGGTACCTACATATAGGATTGTATAGTTCAGAATAATAAAAAGAAAGTCATGTAACATGGCTCATTATTTACATTAGTATGAAGAAAAGTTGATATCACTTACCTTAGACTGCTGCTGCCAATCTTTATATGAATCTTTCTCATACTCTAATTCCTTCAATTTATTAGTAACCTGTTGTAGTTCAAATGTCTGCTTCTCAAGTTGAGTCCTTAAAGATGTGCATTGTTCAGCTCTACTAGTTTGCTTTGCTACCTCCTTTTTGAGAATATCCACTTCAGACTGAGCACCTTCTAATGCCTGTAATTAAAATTAGATCAATGTTATTTTGATTTTCAATGATATGAAAAAGACGATGATTCATTCATTCATTCTATCATTTATAATATAAATATTAGGCTATAACAAAAATCTATACAGGCGAACTTATCCTTTAGAGGGGTTCCAGCCAACCTTGAAAAACTGATAAGAGAAAGTGTCTATAGTATGTATATATTTATTATCTAAATGCAATTACTTATAAAAACAATTTGATAAATGGAAATATTAAAAAAAATTTAACACAGACTAGTCATTTCATATATAGTAAAATTCTGTTATAGCGACAATCAATGCAATGGTGACATTAAGTCGTGCTAAGTAGATAACACCCAACTCAAACTGATTTATGTACAACAATGTATGCATATAATAATAAAAAAAAAAAATATTTACAATAGTTAGTGAAATGGTTTATTCATTAACATATTAAAAAGCAGATCTTATAGCAGAAATTTAATTTTGTCATTCAAAGTAGAAATTGTTAGTCAAAGTAAAAATATACTTTCTTAGTAATTAGAACATGCTGCATCACTAAAAACAATTGGTTGCCTTAAACAAAATTATGATTAACAGATTTCAGTGTATGTTAAAAATATAATATACACTCTTATCTCTAATATGATGTCACAATTAATATATAAAGATGCATTAAATTAATTTACCTGCAATAGTTCATCCATGTCCTTCTTCATCTCGGAGAGCTGATCTTTGCTACTAACATTAGCTTCCAGCAGTTTATCTTTTAATTCAGCTATTTGTTTTAGTAGCTCTGATTTGTCTTTATCCCAATTTGCTTTCATTTCTTTATGTTCCTTTACAGCCTACAATGCAAGACATTTTAATTATTTTTTAAAATATGTTACTCAAATAAAATTATTATGCAATTCTTAACAATAATTTAAAATACTCTTTTACTATCACTTTTTAGAAAAGTAAAATAGATATATTAAGAATTTTAATTAACATAATTCATAAAGAATCAAAACAAAGAAAGCCATAGGTAATCAAACAAACAAATAGCAAAATTAATGAGAATGACAAGACAACAATATCCAACTATTATTGTTTCTCATGCATGTTTGCCTAAATGACCAGTTTTCTCCATCCATCCAAGAAACTAAGCATGAATACAGAACCAGAGGGAGACTTTGTACAAAGTCATTTGCTTGGGCACCTCTGTCCCATTCGTATTTCCACCATAAAGCAGTCGTTTGCATGGCTGTGTTTCTGTTTGAAGTGTGGGATATAGCAGTGAATTTACAGGGTATAGAAGAATAAGATCTGAGTCCTCAGGTATGGCACTGCATGGGAGGTATCATGAGTGAAACAGTATACTCTGTTATGTCCATAGTACTGCTCATGTCTATAGGCGATGTTACCATTTTAGGCCGTCAGCTTGTTTGCCATTCTAAGTTGCATGAAAAAAAAAAAGAATACATAAGAAGCCAATACATTAACATATAAATCAACAAAGTATAAACATCCCAAATATCATTTACAAAATATTAAGAGGCACACATGTTAATATTTTGAGAATAATATATTTGGAATGCATTCACATATAATCTATACTAACATCACTAAATTCATCTTTAAGCTCCTGCTCCCTACGCCTTATGACTTGTAGCCGCTCCTCCATATCAGCTAGAGCACGCTCATCCCTTTTGTGTTGTTCTATTAAAGACCCTTTCTCCTCTTCAAATAAAATTTGCATCTCCTTACGAATTGTATGCTGGTGGTTTACACGAGCTTCTAGTCTTGTGATCTAAAAAAAAAATTGGTATTGGTACTAAATTTGACATTTTTGACTGACATCAGTTTCTAAATTCAAACAAAACACAATCTAATTTGCATTAAATCTGATTAAATGCAAATTAGATTTTAAAAATAGTCTGTAGAACAAATATATATTTGAAGAGGCGGCACAAGTCAATTAGGACCAATTTTATTTATATATATAATATTTTTTTTTTATTAGAATCAATAGTCAAATTTCTTTTTATTCATATCCTAAACAAAATTAGTATTGAAAAAAATTTAATAATTATTAAAAATAATATAGTTTGTACAAAAGTCATTTGCTTGGGCACCTCTGTCCCATTCCTGTTTCAACCGTGAAGCAGTTGTGTTCACATGACTCTTTCGGTTTGAAGGGTGGTATATGGCAGTGAATTTACAGGGTACAGAGAATTAACACCTGAGTCCTTAGGAATGACAACGCATGAGGGGTATCATGGACAAAACAGTATACCCTGTTATATCCATGGTACTGCTCATATCTGTAGACAATGGTTACCACTTTCCACCAGCTGGGCCACCAGCTTCTTTGCCATTCTAAGTTACAAAAAAAAATTGTATGTAGGCCATTCTACATTTGCTATCAAACAATACCTTTTGTAACATTAAAGTAAACAGTTTAATAGTAACACTAATTTTCATATGGATTAACATCTAACATTTTCTATATATAGTGTTTAGGTGTTGTTCAGATAGTTACTGCCTGATTTCTCAAATAGTTTCCACAAGTAATCATAACTTAAGAATACAATATATAATATACAAATAAAACTAAGTCAAAATAAATGGTAGCAGAATTAAACAACATAATTTAATTAAATGACCAGCGTCTTCCACAAGATAACACCTAAATCCATAAAATACTATGAGAAAACTTCTAACCCCTCGACCAGCCTTTCTTAACCACAGGTAGTGACCTAAATTCAGATGACAGATGGCATTGGAGTGGATCATGGAAAATGGGCATTAGAAGAAATGGTGAAAATAAGTTTTACAATTTTCTTTTTAAATTAATATTGATATTTTTGTAATATTTTATAATGACATTAATATTAGCAAACCATGGGTGTTAATCTTATTATTTTATAATTACTGGAAGATTAATAAAACACTAGTCCTGGACTTTGAATATATTTAGGGTAAGAACTGCTGCCCTAAACTTACTTAGGTTTGTACTTAAAGATAGAAAAGATAATTCAACTTGTTTAAAAAAAAAATGTCATTTATAATAAAGCATATTGACATCTTTATATCATCTTTACATCATGTAGTCATTATTACATCTGTTAACGTTCCACTGCTGGGCAAGGATGTCTCCCAATAATGCCTAAACATAAATATTAACTTAAGGTCACCTATCTGTGTTACTGATGCAAAGAAATCTTTTTATATTTCTCTACAGAGCTAAATAGCGTTCTCAATTAAAGTAAAAAAGAATATTTTAAGGAAAATATGCCTTAATTGTACAAAGTGATTTTTTAAATTTCTTACCTGAGCCTTAGCAGCTATTAAATCAATCTTCATCTTTTTCGCTTCCCATGGGGATGGAGGAACTGACCCTGCATTTGATGTAGACTCTGTTCGCATCCTCTTGTCTGGAGTGGAAACGTCACCCATTCCGATACTGGACTTTCTTTTACCCAGAGAAAGAAGGTTAGAAAGACCTATAAACATTTTCATTTATTATTATTTTTCAAAAACAATTACACAAATAACTTGACAAACAAGTAAACTCATGATATACTCACCTTCTTTTAAAGATTGATTACTATCGGAGAAATTCAATTTCAAAGACGCCGACAATTTTTCTTTTGGCGGATCAGTATTTATAACCCTTCTAAACGGTTCTAATACATCGTTAAAAAGAGACATATCCCCTTCTTTAGCCATTTTTATGACAATAATTTCTATTGAGTTAAAACCTGTACATTTTCTAAAGAACTTTACTAAAATAAAAATATAAAAACACACAAGCTAAGAACACTACAATAAAATTAAATGTACACAGATTAATAATGAAAGTAAAGTTATGTATGTACTCTGTGCTCGGGGTTGCCTGGCATGATATTTTTATTTTTACCCAAATATTTTTTTTTTTTCAAATTAATAAATTTCCTTTATAGAAATAAACTTTGTGTTTGGGTAGAAACCCAAACACAAAGTTTATTTCTATAAAGAAAAAAGTTTCTATAAATGATATATATATATATTATTAGGTTCCCTAATAAATATTTTTATTTGTTATTATTATTTTTAATTCCTCGGTGGTAGCGGGTTAGGCAAAGCGACAGCGTATCATAATACCTATATCCGAACACAATGCAAAAATTCCGCGTGGCCGCCTACTACGGGTTTTCCCTGACTACGCTTGTGATTTAAATTAATATTGATATTTTATGATGTATAAATGAATAAAAGTGTATGTATTAAAGCTATATGGGCTACATTATATATATATATATATATATATATATATATATATATATATATATAAAATATCTACAAACTAAAAGTTCTAATGCATCAACTTGGTTGCATAGAATACATAAGACTTATTTAAAGTTCGCGGGCCTTAAAATATGTTGTTTTACTTACGTATTTTTGACAATGACAATTAGAAAAGTATAAATATATATATATTTACCGGTGTTTATTTTGTTTATAGGTTATTATTACAAAGTATTTTTTATCTACTGCGATTGCCAATATACGATAAATCTATCAGTTTTAAAAATGGAATCAAATCAAACTAATTATTTTGAAAGTTATGAAGACTTGGAGGTATTTATATTTCTATTCACTATAATAATACTTTGTTGTCTAAAGTAGTACCCACGCTGCCTTATGAATGCAAGTGAAAGTTAAGTAAGAGAATGAATAAACCAAATTGTTATAACTGCACACATATTCATGGAAAATATTTTGACTTGATATTCATTATTTAGTTAATCGGTTTGTATAGGTAGTACCTTACTAGATGAACAAAGACAGCCTAATTTTTATATCCATAGCACAAACAAGATTCTAGACACAAATAGCAGATAATACTCACATTCTTTTTTTGATTAACTCACAAATGTATTTTAAGATTCACAGATTAATGCTTGAAGATGAATCCAGGAACAAAGCATATAAAGATGCCATTATGAATAATAAATCCTATTTAAAGGATAAAACTGTAATGGATGTTGGTTGTGGTACTGGAATTTTATCTATATTTTGTGCCCAAGCTGGTGCTAAAAAAGTTTATGCAGTTGAAGCTAGCAATCTTGCAAACTTGGCTAAAGAAATAGTCAAAGAAAATAATTTTGAAAATGTTATAGAGGTAAGATAGTAAGTTCTTTCTATAATGAAATTTCTATGATGGAAAGCTCTTAAATTCTATTGTTCAAAAATTACATTATTGTACTTGAAAATTTCCCTGATTCATACAAATAAGTGGTAATTCCATTGTAACAGGTTAACAGTATTTACTATATACATACAGAATACAATATTCTTGATAGGTTTTGCATATTAAACCATTATTTTTTATCTATATGTTGTAATAAAAGATCATATAGGTGTTTGTACACATAATCATGTTTAAAGGACTAAACACATTTTAGTGAAATATTATAAGCTAGTAAATATATCCTTGTAAATATGACTATATGTGATATGTTATACGCTATATGTGATAATGTGATACTATGATATTGTGGCAATAACAAATTATTTCTAGTAAACTTATAATATTCAGGTAATTCACAGTAAAGTGGAAGATGTTTCATTGCCTAACAATATTAAAGTGGATGTCATAGTGTCAGAGTGGATGGGATTTTATCTACTGCATGAAGGGATGCTGGACTCAGTGCTGGTGGCTAGAGATAAGTTTCTGAAGGATGATGGGCAGATGTTCCCTGAAAGTGCTACAATTTACATTGCACCATGTAGGTGAGAATTTCCATTAAAAATAAACTATTGTGTACATTATGTATCTATGTTTCTTTAATAAAAAAAATTATATAAAATTTTAACATTAGTTCTTAATTATTCTTCTTTAAGTTAGATTGCTTTTATACTTCTATGATGAGCACAAAGTTTTTTATGTTAAGACCACAGATCTATTTATACATAATTATATTACTGTTGAAAAAGTAATACAATTATGTATACACAAAAATACAATAAATCAAAAATTACATCTGTTAAATTTCTACTTTCAAAAATAAAAAAATATCAATTTGTTTTAGTGTTCCTACTTTATACCAAAAATGGGATAATTTACATGGGATATCAATGTCTTTATTTGCTAAACATTTAAGAGAAAGTCGATACAACAAACCTGAAATAATGCACATACAGTCAAAGGACCTCCTTGCAAGTGAAACAGCACTGTGTTGGATCAACCTAAAAGAGGATACTGCATCAGACTTAGATTCATATAGTATACAACATGTTGCAGGTAATATAAACATTTACCTGATTATTGATTATATATGTAATAAATGAATACAATTCGATGTTTCACACAGTGCTATCTGGTTTCAAATTATGCACTTGTACTACAGGCACAACTGATACAGATACTTAAAAAATATTTAATACACAAACATATACATACATGTTATATACATAGAAAACACCCAAACAGATATACTCATGAATTCAAATGCTTGTATGGGGATCGAACCCACAACTGTCAGAAGTCAAGCCGATGTCACACCAGTACACCATCAAACATACATGAATATTATAGTAGATTTATTAGATGTTTGATGTTATATGAGTAAAAAAGTTATGACTTTACTGTTGCTGTGGCCTACATTCCATTTATAAAATTTAATATTATAACAAATTTGTATACAAACAAACATGGAAGATATTTTCGAAGCAATATTTTTTTAGAAATTTTGCTAGTTTGTTTCTTTCAATGTCACACAAAAATTACTGCACCAAATTGGATGCAATTTTCACAGTAATGTTCCTAAAAGTTTAGTGCATGTCTTGTTTTGATACACAATATAGAAGTGGTATATTTTATTGGTTTCCCTATTTATGAAATTGACACGTACAAAGTATTGCGCAAATAGCTAGTATAATATATAAATGTATGTATTCATACCAGGTAGAATACCTATGTAATATACACTATTTTCAGCCATAAGTAAAAATGGATCATACCAAGGCTTATGTGTGTGGTTTAAATGTACATTCCCTAATATAACAAATGACGGTGATGCTAGCCAAGTGAGGTTAGATACAAGTCCTAATAGTTTACCAACACATTGGAAACAAGCTGTCATAGTTCTACCTCAAGCACAAGAGGTTGAAGAAGGGGAACCTATAGCATTTCAGCTAGACATGATAAGAGATCAACTTGATAAAAGAAGGTAAATTAATTTGCATGTTTCTATTTTTAAACTTAATTATCTTAATTATGCACTAGTGCCACCATAATAGACAAAATTAACGTCATTCTATGTTCACTTATGTATATTAATTATGCATGTGGAGTTCATAATCCAATAAATATGGAACCGCAACAGGACTCAGTGTGATATGATTTCAATATTTAAAAAGCTTCATTAATTTGACGTTTTGATATTATTGCAAAATCTATTTTTGTTGATATATAAACCTGTAATCTTGACACATAAGAGTACTTAAAGCGTCTATTTAATAATAATTAAGTGTATACAATTTAAGAATCGATTGGCTTAATGATGATAATGTGTAATGTACAGTGAAATTGCTTAGTACTGTAATTCGAAATCTGTATGTTACATATAAAGGTTAGCAATACTTAAGTGCTGTTTTGTTCTCCCAATGATTACTAGACTTATGCCATCTTACTAATGAAAAGGAGTACACATATTCTTGCTCCCATTACAACAACTATACAAACATCTGTAGACATAATTTGTTATTTTTTTCTTCAGATACAATTTGGAACTGACATTACTAGATCCAGAGGTTGTTGAACATCCTCTCCCATGTACTTGTCACATGACTAAATGCATACTTACTAAGGCAGTATTGGAACAGCATGCTGAGAAAACAATTGTAGAAGTCAACTCAAATAGTCAAAAAGACAGTATATTAATAGAGGAAGATATAGATGATGAAGATTCATCATCATCTATCTATGGTGAAGATTAAATGATAATGCAAATGTATTATGATGATATATTTATATTAATAACTTGAATATTTTATAACAAGATATTTTTCATTATAATTACATTTTTTCAAAAGAATAGAACAAAATTTGATTCCCTTAGTAACATAAAGTTTAACTTGACTCATTTAGGTTCGTAACTCAATGTTACTGGCAAATAAATTTCATTTCATTTCAATGTTGCCTTTGGCATTAATAATCATTGAGAAGTCTGATTAGAATTATAAAGAACTTAGCGTAATTGTGAACATTATTGAAATTAAATTTTATTTATTGATTTATGTTTTACTGCATTCACATTCAATATAAATATTAGTTTATAACAAAAAAATTACACAGGCGGACATATCCTTCTTGAGAGATTTCTTTCACTTAACCTTGAAAACCAGAACTTTTAATACTGGCAACATCAATATTTAGTGTCATCATCTTTACTATCGTGTATTTAGTAACGTAGCATGTTTGTTACGGACTGTGTAAGTTGTGCTTCGCCGCTGAGCCAGCGGTTGTAGTCCAGTCTCATGAGCAATCGTGCCAGGTAAACTCCGCAGGGACGCTCGCGCACTGATACTAATAGTTGCATTAACTGCTTCACCAATTTGTTAAATCTATAAAAAAAAGCGAAATTTTTCTATTGCAAGCAATATAAATAGTACCACATATGTATAAAAAAACGCAAGGTTCAATCGAAAGCCTGGTGAGTAAATTAAAACATCCCCTAAGCTTTGAAAACTCCAGTTCAACTTCAGTCTGAGTATTCTAAGCAGTGCATTAGCTATTTAACCTGTCTTCACGTCAATGTCTCTAATGTCGAAATAGGTATTAGGTATTTCATTATAAGCTTATAATAGTATGATTACGAGGCTGTGTTCTCCCGACATAGAATATACTATCCCTTCCTTTCCCGTGGGTGCCGTGAGAGGCGACTAAGGGATGGACAGCAGCGTCCTTCTTAAAACATATCCAAAGCCTAAATTGCCAATTCACCTGCCAAGCATAGAAATTACTGACAAAACCCCCCAAGGGGAAGGCTTATGTTCAGCAGTGGACAGTTCAGTTTCAGTGAAGGCTGATATGATGATGATGATAGTACGATTAAAGGAAAAAAATACGAACGAACAGAGAACCAGATTTTCGAAATCAGTTGGAAAAATAACATACCACTGCTCTTTTAATAGACAATGTTGCCAGCTAGAATGGAAATATGGTGAACATTTTTTTCTACCTTCTAAATTCAACTGTATTTTTTGCGTGTGTTACGCGATACCTTCACCAATCTTATATCATTGTAATTGGCTTTACTTCTGTGATGTGATGTGATGTGTTGATTCTATATTAATTTTGTTACAATGAAGACGTTGATTTTTTTTTAAGTTTCTTATTTGAAGTATGTAGATTATTGCAGATAACATACCTATCAGAGTAACCCCTTATATAATAATCCTCGGCTTCTTTATCGGTCACTAAGTCACCCATACTGCAGAAAGAGTGACAGAGTTTTATTAGTTCCATTATATTGCAGAAGACTGGGTTGTTTATAGAATCGATGGTGTCGCCCGAACATTCACTATCTGACGACTGCAACAAAAATAATTAACCATAAAATCTTTAAAATAAATCTTAGTTCATTTATTTGTTATATTAATGGTAATTTTCATTACGTAATTAGTATTGTACTCATTATTGATTATTCAATAAGAGTTATTCTCGTATATATATATATAACCTACTGTTTGCCGATGCCATTGATCCCATAGGACAGGAATGTCACGAGTCGGGTTTCAGTTTTATCGATAAATTAGCAATTTTCTTTATTAATAGCCACGAGACTAATTACATGCATATAGTATCTAACAGCACCTATCTGGTACATAACTTACTATAGTAATTAGCTCATCACAGAAAGCGTTATTTACTGTATGTTTTGTAAGAAGAAATCTATACTAATAAAATGGTCTGTTTAGTTTTTATAGATAAACGGTTGAACAGATATTGTAGAAATTTAGTATAACCTAAGGTTACATTTTTTATTTATTAATGCAAAACAGTAAACAGGTATCTATATATACATGTATATAGACATCGGATCAAAAATAAACATAAGTTAAAAAATTAAATAAATAGGTAGTAATTAATTATTATTAGTTCGTACCGAGATGACAGTCAAGAACGATTGACCGAGTATATCAGCGAGGAATGTTGCGTGCGCTTTTTTGAGTTTCTCAAAGTCTGTTGTCTTGTTCACCGCGTCCATGAGCCGTGAGAAATTGGTCTCCAGAACGTCGGCTTGCATGTAGTGTTGTAAGTGATCCATGAGGAACATCAATTTATTGTGCAATTGGCACATTGAGAAGCTGCCATAAAAGTAATGTAGTTTAGGAAAATGTTCCATTTATAAAGGACTAGCTTTTATCCGTGACTTCGTTGGTGTGACTTATCTATGTTTACTAATTGGGATAAAAAAAAGCTTTCTCTATCCTATGTAATATATGTATAAAAAATATATACATAGTAGTTAAGCCGTTAAGGCGCTATAATGTAGCAAACAAACTTACGCTCACATTTCTAATATTAATATTAGTTCAAATCCAGAGGTCCACTTTAAAAATTTTTTTAAAAGACGAAAATAGAATGGTAATCCCGTCTGCACTATACCTACGCTAGCGAGGTACTATTGGGAGATGAAGTAATATCATATATTGTATAAATAGAATTTTCAAAAGTAAAGAAGTTGGCGTTCTACCTGATAAAGAGTTAACCGCCTAATTACATAAAGAACAAGTCCAGTGTTCATGGTATTCAAATTACAATGTATTATTGATTCATGGGATACTCAAAAATACTCCCAAAAACTCTTTAATATAATAGTATAATAATTTACTTACCTCGTAGATTGTTTATAAGTCTTCCAAAGAGCATGTAAGTCATGTTGGGTTTTCTTAATCCTGAGGAGCAGCCGGAACATATCGTTGTATCTTGCTAAAACTTCGGGCGTGAATAATAAATGCAGAGGCCATTTAAAGTCGTATTTTAAAATTATGCTGGACCAGCCATCAGCGACTGTAACGAATTTATTTAATATACGTTAAGATCTTACTACTATTACTAGTTATGTGAAGGTATTGTCTTCTGGTATATTTTTTTTCTAAACCTCATTCTTTATACACAACCACTGACGTGTCTTACCACACAACGACTTTACGTCACTTTACATGACACGTTATTATTTTAAATCTATTTGTAACAACAATGACCAATGTAACAGTTTTACAGTCTAATATTTATCATCCTTTAATTGGTCCTGAGCTTAATTTGCACCAACAAACTTACGATAACAAGACATCCATCAAATCCATATCAGTCCGTTGATCATTAGCCATTCTCTTAATATATTCATAAAATACCATTTTTTTTTATTTTGTTATCAAAAGTGCAACAGTATTTTATGGCAAAAAGAATCGTGTAGTTCTGTTATAATATCTACAGGATTCTTTTTACATTTATAGTATATATTATATTTATATTAATACATAAATACAGTAGGTGACTCAGGGCTATTCCTTATGGTAGTCCATAATGTTCAACAATAGGCAATTAATGGCTGAAATAATGAAAATAAATTATTACCTGTGCTACTATCATCTTCTATAGACGAGTTCGCCGATATATTAGGCTTCACGTAGGGTAATTCAAAACTAAACTTTTCAATATCCGCGCTATTGCTGAGAAATACTGCTCTCGCCGCCAATTGGAAGGCGTGATTCATATCTGTAATGTATATCTATTTTATACACTATTTTTACACAAAGCTAGTAGCTAAACTACACTCCTTACATTTAAAATATTAAAAAAAAATCACCTCTAGTTGACGTTCTTGTAGTAGGTTTATCTAACATAGGTGCCGTAAGTCGTAGTAGTTCTAAGAACAATTCGCCGCGACCGAGGAGATAGAAATCCTTCATCAGTCGAAGTTCGTGGATCAGCTGTGCCTCTTCTACTGCGACAGTCCACAGGTGCTGTAAGTCAATACAATAATACCAATAAAATATTCGTAAGAGAGAACAACTATCGTAAGTCATATCTTAAACTAATTTTAAACTTTTCTCCAAGAGCATGTTTCATAGTTGTATTGCTCGCAACACCAAAATTGTGCTCAAGAATAAGGACTTCTATTGAGTTCGAAACTAGTTGGATAATCCTAAAGTTATAATGTAAATGAAGCCTATACAAATAATTGTAACTACTGAAAACATATAGTTTAGTAATTTTTAGAGACCCATATCGACACATAATATCATCATGAATATAACATAGACGCTGAATTTTAATAAAATAATTATCAAATGACAATTTATAATCAACATTGTGACCTAAGGTTTTTATGTTATAGCAGTTAGCAATATGTGATATCTTTATTATAAATTTACCTTTGTGACACATTCCTTTATGTCTCTGACTACACTCCTTAAATTACAAACTTCAAACACTTCAGGATTCTTAAGTTTTTGCAATTTATCATGAAATTCTGCTTCTTTCTCTTCCCAAATGGTAAATCTAAAACGTGTAATTCGTGTAAACTTTTTAATGAAAACTTATATCTCACATTTAATCTTAATCATTACAAATCTTAAAAATATAGTTGTTTATGGTTATTTGATAAGAGCTTATATTAGTGGTTATCTTAGCTTTTGGGTTGAAATAATACATGTTGCTTTAGCCCTAAAATGTACTATCACATTACACCATTAATTGTCCACTTTCCCCCCATAAAGGGGGTTTTGCCAGTAGTTGCCACATTTGGCAGACAACCGTAGTAAAGCTTTGTTGATGTTTTAAAAGGGACGCTACTGCTCTCCTTCCCGTGACTATTAAGTTCCCTTAGTAGCCTCGTACGACACTCACGGGAAAAGAAAGGGTGGCCCATTCTATGCCGGGACCACATGGTGATATACTAAGTATAACAAAAATTTATTAAATAGATTAGAAACTAACAGAGTGTAAATAATTACACATGATACCATCTGACTGATTACAGAATCCTATAAAACACTTTAATTGATTTAAAAGTATAACTATTGAGAAAAACCCTTAGGTCTTAGCCTTAATCGAAAGTTTTTTTTTCTACAATATAGCAGGTAATTTATATTGTTAAAATTTTATGAAAAAAAAAATATATATATATATATATTTAGTTCTATAAAAAATGTAAAAACCTTTAATGCAAATTGTAATGTAAATGTAAAATATACATTACTAAATTGCAATAAAATAAAACTAAAACATGTCATATTTCAAATACATTTTACCTTAAATAAAAGCCAAAATGTAAAAACAAATATTGTACCTTCTTGAGTCAGCACCACATTTCTGCAAAGGCATTATAGGCCTGTTGTTCATAAAATAGCTACTCCTCTTCACTTTTCGAGGGTCGAAGCCAAACAGTATTACAGTTTTGCCAATGAATAATATTTCTTGAGCCAGTGACAATGGCACGAAGTAAGGTATCATGGTCGGATTTAAGTTGTAACCACAATCTATGATTGTATCTTGTAACTGAAAAATATCAACTAGTATCTCAACTAATATTTCTTGGGAACAACTATTTTTGAAGTTATTTTTTTTATTATTAACAAAATAATAAAAAAAATTAGCTTTTGGCAATACTCAATATGCAAGTAAGTTTGCATGACACCATTGCATTTAAAGGATAATAAATTTTAATCAAAGTTCATCTTTAAATAAAATTTATAGTCTGCGGTCTAAAAGTTATGCTTGCATGGCAGTTGGGTGGGATATAGCAGTAAAATTATAAGGAATGGAGCAATAACATCTTAGTCCTCAGATCTAGTAATGTATTGGGTATATCATGTTCATTGTTTATATCATGATTGTCACAGTATATTCTGTGATTCAGTAACCTCACACACCCAGTGTGTATGAGGTCCATGATTCTTGTCTACAGGTGATAGTTACCACATTCCATCAGGTGGCCCATCAACTTGGTTGTTAAGTTGCACAAAAAATATTTTTACTTTTTACTTACAGTGGAGACAAGAGATTTGTCACAGGCATTTGTTGAAGGAGATGAAAGGAATGTGTCTGATATATTATCATCTTTATTATTTCGGTAAATAAAAAATTCTTGATAGGGATCTCTTAATTCACCATATAACAACCATGTGCATAACTGATTCACAAACACTTTATTTATACAAGTGAATATTCTGAAAGCCATAAGACATTCCACTATGTAATTGGTATTCTACAAATTATTTAACACATTATAATATAAAAATATATAATATTATTTATATTACTTACTACTACTTATATATTATACAAATTTTAAAATTGAGTCTGCAGTATATCATACTCGCCTATTAAATGGTTTGATATAAGGACCATAAATAGTAATTATGATTGATAGTAGATTGGTTTTGTTTAAATTATATTTAATATTGTATGGAATTCATATTGTAATCTCACATAATAATCGAAGGGCTTTATTAATTAATTGTTTATACAAATATTTAGTTGTTATATAACGAGGGATATTGAGTGATAAATTCTGTATGAAAGACTTTCCAAGTTAAAGACTTTGTGTTGGATACTACCCATCTATAATTTTTTTAAAAGTTTAGTTTTAACTCAAAAAGACTTCAGATGATATGGCGTAATTTTTATGTAAGCATATATTAATCCAAACAATAGGTTTATATCCTGCTATGTTGATTACAAATATGTTGAATAGTAGAACAATGATGTATCCCAGTAGTGATACTTAGATTACTGGAATATTTTTTTGTTAGTTAATGAACTTACTTGATAACAGCTTCATGTACCATTTCATTCCCATTCAGGATGTACTGGTGTGTCAAACTCAATATTTGGCAACCAGTCAACCTCCTCTCCTTAATTGTGACAATTATTTTGTTCAAAGTATTGAACAATCCATGAAATTTTCCTACATAACTGTACACAAAGGAGAGATTATAGTTGTGATTGCCAATTATTAAACTTTCCACTTCTACCAAAGTTTTCTTATAGTCTTGAAGCACTTCTGTGACACCTTCGCTAAGAGCTTGTGCGTATAGGCCAGAAGTCTTGAGGCCTGATGCTGTGAAATTTATTAAGTAATAAGTTAAAAAAGAGTTTCAAGTTATTATAACAGTTGAATCATTCAGGTACCAAAAGGTACCAAACAACTCAGTTTCATAATAGATTGATAGTCAAATATGTTTCTCTTCCAGATAGAGTCTACACATATAAACATATCCAATATTTTTAGTATTTATTTGAGCATGCCCAAATGTATACACCACCTATTTTTTTTTTATCTAATGAATGTATAAATGTTAAGGGTAGCTAACATCAGTTCACCCAGTAGTACCACAGTACAAGGGTAACCAGTAATCCAATTGAACAATTACAAGAAAATCCAGGGCTTATTGCATGGTCTAGACATGCCCATTAGATAAATGACAGGAAAGGTTTTTTTTACTGTGGTATCAATAACTGAGAAAAAATATATCAATAGATATGCTGTGAAGTATGTTACAATAAAACCACATTAATTCAGCAATAGTCATGACCACTGTCTTACCAAATGTACACTAAATGAGATTATTTTTCATTTATTTAAAATATCAATAGAAAGAAATACATGCCATACATAAAACAGCAAAACTAAAACCCGTGTAAACCATTATAAATTAATCCCGAGAATAAAAAACAAATATATTTGCACATATCAGAATCTTTTATTTGTATCACCTCTATCTGGGGCGGATATGTCATTATAAATATCCACAGGCAAATAATGTAATATTTGTGGCAACATATATTCCCAGGTGTATTTCCTATATGCATTATTAAATTCAGGCAATGCATATAAATTAAATAAAGTAAATTAAAAATCTGAGGTTATCAAGTCTAGTCCATTTTGTCAACTTGGTTGTTTTTGTATTCCTCATCTACAATTGATATTTTTATTTTGTTGAAGACATGATTAATTAATTTACCTGATTGTAATTTTCTAGAACGAAAACCAAATGTTTCAACATAATTTTGTATTGTATGATGACTTCTGGCTACATCCCATATTCTATTGTAAATTTCAGCATCCCCTTCTTCCTCAAATATTAAGGAACTACGCTGAAATTTATTAATGCCAAATGAGAATTATTATCATTGCCTAGTTATATATCTATATTACAATATTGAGTATATTACGGAGAGTATATACTCACATTTGGCGGCATTTCTGTCGCTTGAGAACAGTCCCACAAAATAAGTAATGCATCATGTATCATGTTTTAATTGGAATTTAAGACGCTAAAAGAAATTAGTAACAAATGAAAATATTCAATTAACAGATTTTTATTTATATCTATATTCCTTGATTTATACTATTAAACATAAACAAAGTATTTTGATCATACTAATTATTTGTTTACATTTATAAAAGAAAAAGTTTTAAAACAATAGTTAAAGAGATCCAGCCGCAACTGATATTTTTTTTTAATTATAGAATCTATCAGAATTCTAATAATTGTGCCAATGTCAAGATTGAAAAAAAACACTATAGTTTTATTAGTGATGGACAAAATTTCCTTTTCCGTGATTGTTGTGGATCTAAAAATACTGACAAATAATAATAAACTAAATGACTTAGATACTTACAACAACTAAAGCAAAAATTTAAACTAAATTTAAAAAATAATATAAGCTTAAATAGTAAGTTTGCTCCTTAATTACTAAATAAATAAGGAGTTATAACTTTATTTATGCTTTTTGTATATGCTTTATTGTAAAAATTAAAGTAACTTTAGTTTCTAAATCGCTCTACAGAGGCAACACATAGACAAACTTTGATCAGTAATCATTTTAAATAATAAAAAACATGTAAAATATTATATTATACATAAGTTACAAAAAATGTTATGCAATTTCCGACTATCATAATAGTTTACTTTTACAAAAAATCCTAGTCTAAGTTAGGTGGTAATATTTAAAAAAGAACAAAAGCAATAAATTTACCATTATGTACTTATCTATGGTTTTCATACAATAGTACATAATATAGTATAACGTATCTAAGGTACATACACGAAGCAACACTATAGAAAATCATTCGTTCATTTTGAAAGGACTGGTGTTTCTGTAGTTATTGTTATATGAATACAGGTGCGCTTGCGCCGCTAAATTGAACAAGAATAACAAAAAAAAAAGAATATAGGTGGTGATTGGCTGACTGACCGGCTATATTATAACTTATAAATTACAAGCGTCTTATACCAGCTAGTCTAGATTACTAACTTTTAAATAGTATATAGCCAGTTAACAATAAAATAAAAGGATTACTATTATTATTCGATTGATGAGAAATATAAAACTTATATAAAATAAAGTTCACATAAACTACAAATGAGTATGAATTGAATAAAATGTCTGAAGCTTATAGAATAGGTGCAGTTAATATTGAAAATAAAACCGGGGTTAATCACGATGAAAATTATTGTATATTAAATGTTTTATGTGTGTTTATTTCACTCGTAACAATACTAGCTGATTTAACTACAGGTAAGGGAAGGATTACTCAATTTTATAACAGTAGATTTTATACGAGTTCTATTTTTTTATACCTTTACTGTATATGAATTTATAATTATTTATATTGGAAATAGTTTAACTCTTTTATATTAATATGAATTAAAACTAACTTTTTCCAGATATATTAGTCTTTGCTGAATATTGTCATGACGGGCATTATAATTGGGCAACAGCTACTCTATTGTTTATCGTGACTCCTAACATAATAATAAATATATTTTCTCTAAGATGGTTTATAAATGACCAGAAAATTAATGTTCGTCATTGGATAACACATGGATGTCTTATTGGATTGCTGGAAAGGTATTTACCTTCTTCACTTACTTCATACCTATAGCTTTTAAGTATGATATACTTGAATTGTACAGTTTAATTGTATTGATAAATGTTTACAATTTTATAGACAAAAATAAATTTATTTACTTTGGTCCATTTTGTGCATGTTTGCATATAAGAACCTAATTCATTGTCTAATTAGGTATGAATGTTGATCACCACCGTTCACATATACTGTAATTATGAAAAATGATACTATGTTTTATGACTATCTTGAAAAGGACCACCGTTTCCGTGTAGAAATATTAAATTTTCTTTGGATGAAAATTTAGTTTCTATTTTTATAATTAATTATATTAAGTAATTAAATAAAAAGAAATTTAAGACTTTATTTTTTTTCTTTTTCAGATATGTAATATTTTTGTATAAAGTATTTGCCTGCAAGAATCTAGAATCAATTAAAACTGAGAAATGGGTATCTCAAAGGAATGATTTGGGTCTATTACATTTTTTATATGTATTTACAGGGACAATACCCCAAATTATTTTACAAACATATGCTATAGTCATATTAAATGAAAATTATTATACTAAAGGTAATTTTCATACTTTTTATTTAATCATTTAACGTAACAGATTTAACCATGTAAATATTAAACAATGTTAATAAACCTTACCTAATGTAATAAATAGATAGAAGTTTAATGTCTAAAATGTTTAATAAGTTATCCAACATATGAGCATATTGATACAGTGATTAATACACTTAGTGATATGTGGACAAATTATACTTAATACTTACGTATTTTTTTTTTATTTACAGCATTTGCATTAACTGCCTCTATTGCATCAGTTATATGGAGTTGTTCAACATATATTTACAGTACAACAGTATTTACATACGAACAATTTCAATGGAATTCCTTTGCCATAAAACTTATGTGGCATTTTGCTATTTTAATTGGAAGGATACCCAGCATTTTGTTATTTACCATAGTCTTTGGTATTTGGACTTTAGTGCCATTGGGTAAGTAATCAAATTTTTACTTGAAATTATTTTATTGGCTTATTTTTTATTCTATTAAAGAAAATAAATCAAGAGATTAAAATAATAATAATCTAAAGATATTTTTTTTTAACAGGTCTACACTGGTCTGTGATGACATTTTGGATTATTATGCAGAAAACATCATTTTGTTCCAATAAACTGGAAGAAGCGTTATATAATGTAGTAATGGGATTTATATATTGTTTTTGTTACATTAATTTAAGGGAAGGTGGAACACGATATCGATTGTTAATGTTTTATACGCTAATAGTTACCCAGAATTTTGGTGGATTGCTCCTTTATGTGTTAATTTCTGACCTGGACCAACAAAAAAGGTTATGGTCTATTACAGCAACAGTATGTATAATAGCAGGGACTTTAATTGGTATGTTTGCATATTTGTTATTTCCAAACAATGTAATTTTATTATCATAATATTTATTGTGATAACAATATATATTTTATCACATTTTCAGGTATAACTGCTATGGTTTTGTACTATAAATACTTTCACTTAAAATCATTAAGAGAAGAGAAGGAGAAATCTAATAGTGACATTGAATTAAACAATAAAGTAATGAAAGAAAAATCAGATGATAACAAATCTATTAACCATATAAGAGCATTTAAAAGTGGACAAATCACCGAATTACAAAGGTTTGTTTATGACTTCTATAATCATAAATTAATTATCATCTCTAATATTCTTTTGCAATGGTTTTATTCAATATTGTAAGTTTATTATTGTCTTTTTTTTTTGTTTGCAGGAAAAAAAGATATAAAAAAAAGAAAAATGTAGCATCGCCAGAATCAACATCAAAAAATGATACCTATAATGCTGATAAAAGGTTTTTACTAGATCACTGGATTGCAATGTCGAGGACACCAACATTGACGTCAGCTCAACTAGCTAATAGTAGCATGGATGTTTCAAGTATTGAAGTATATACCGTGGAAAATACACCACAGTCACATACACATGTCGCATTTAGTGAGAACCCTGAGCAATTAAATCTTCATAAACAAATGAAAAGATTAAAAACATTGCCATCTCCAAATGAACTAATACTGAGATTATCTAATATTCAAAGTATCGAAAGTTCTATAGATGAAATAACGTCTAATAGTATGAACTTACAAAAACGCCGCGGAATTTGTTCTTCGGATGAATTAAGAGATGATTTGAATAATATTAATGTAGAAAATGAAAGTTTTATGAAAAACATGAAAATTGACCGAAGTTCAGAAATAAGTCAAGATACAGATGGCTCAAATAAGAAAACTTCATCAGATTCTATCGATATGGATTTGGATTTGAGTTTTAGTGACATTAACAGCTCAGACATAAATACTTTTAATGAAAATATTGTACAAAAATTATGCTTAAGTGCATTAAAAAATATAAAAGTAGGAAATCAAGACGCGGATATAGAAAATATTCAAAGAATAGCTTTAGATATTCTCAAAGAAATGTATACTAAAAAGGATAAAAGTAAAAACAAAGTAAATAAGGAGACTTTTTTCGCAAAACAACGAGATTTAGATACGCCATCAGAATTATTATCTGTTCATGATTATGAGAATATCTGTGCTGTAAATATTGCAAGAGAAGCATGGGGCCTAAGATCCTGGAATGGATATACGGATATAGAAAACTGTCAACATGATGGAAGTGTGGTTCGTGATAGAAGAGGTGATACATTTACTTCAGAAAGTTCAGAGATAAGTAGTTGCTTATCACATGAACTAAAAAATGCTATTTTAGCAGCTCCACCATTCCCTAAAAAGACTCCTACTTACTCTAATATTTCTGTGAAATTAGACAGTAGTCATCAAGATTATGTTAACACAGCTATGTGTCATTCGAATGATGAAATATTAAATAAACCATGTACAGTGGATTTTAGTAAAGATCCAAATCACTTGGAACCTATAATAGAAGAATTAGATGATTTAGGAGATATAGAACCACCAACAAAGAAAAGATTAAACTCTGAAAGTTCATTAGTTGCTACCATAGATGAAATCCGAAAAGCATTTATAAATAATTCACCGCGAAATTTGTACCACAGAAGGGAACATTTATGGGATTCACCACAGTGTGGAGCGTCAGTTACGATAGAAAATACTTTGAAGAGGGCACTTTGGAAAGAACCTTCAAAATTTGATTCCAGTAATATAATGGAATCGCTGCCTGAAAAAGAAAATGTAATAGGTGTATCTCATGATTCAAAGTTTCATTCTAATGATGAATCAAACATCATCGAAGAAACTAATCAAAATGATTTAGTTAATATGGAAATTGCAGAAACTTATAACAGAAATCCTAGACGACGGCAGAAACCAAATATTTGTGGTATTAAATTACAAAATAAAACTCTCAATAACAAACCAGATCAACGTCTACAAGATCTTTCAAATAAAGATATAGATTTTTTATGGCAATTAGTGTCTGAAAATTCTTTACCACATAGTTCTGCAGAAGATCTTTCATCTAATAGAATATCGTCCTCTTTACAATCATTGATACGAAAAGATCCCTGTATGTCTTTAGTTAATGTATCTGTACCTAAAATAACAAATATAAAAAAAGGAGTTAGAAGTAAACCTAGAAGAAAATTCTCTATTTTACGGGAAAGATTTGAACCTAAAATTAATTTAAATTCTGATAAAGAAATTTTGTGTCATGGTTTAGAAAATATATCAAACCCTTTAGATAGCAATTTCATTAACGTGATAAATGATTTAGATGCTACAAACGAAAGGATAATATTTGATTCAAAAACTAATAGTTCTAGTGTATATACCCCTGATTATTTATCTTCCAAAAGCATCAAAGAGAAAAGATCTCTGTTTATGAAACAAGTTCTAAGCCCACCAAAATTTAATACTAAGTTAAAACATAAAATATAAACAAATCATTAATAAGCTTTTCGTTCCTAATTTTTATGTATAGTTGTATATCATAGTCATATACAATGAACTTGAACAAAGATCTCATGCGGTATGTAGTCATTTAATTTTTACAGAATACTTTAGAAATAATCATTCATATCATAAAATATTTCAAATCAAGTTGTTGTTTTGTGATAATTGTCATGGTATATTTGAATATGTAAAATTTTTAATGAATTTATAATGAACAAGATATATTAGCTGCCTATTTCTATTTTACCAGTATCAATCGACACTATATTATAGCTGTTAATACTTACTATTTATTTTGTTGATAAAAAAATGTATTGATGATCAGAAAAGATGTTTAAAAATCCTTTTCAAAGAGTTATTCTGCTGACATATAAACGTTATCTTTTAATAAAAAAATTAGGTAGTTGCGCTTTTTAATCTGCCAATACTAAAAAGTGTAGCAGGTTATATATAATTAACTCGTCGAAAATTAGGTATTTACGGAAGAAAAAGACAGAATAAATGTGCTTGAAACATAAACTTGGAGAGTGAATTTGGCAGATGCCTAGTAAATCAGAATTATGAAGTATAGTATATATATTGCATATATATTTTATATATTGCAGGAAATTAAAAGGATACAGGTGCAGAAGAAATCTGGAGTAATCTATTATCATATACTTACTACTACCAATTGAAGCAAAAATCAAAACAATTCAGTGTACACGAATGGATGAGAAAAAAATAACAGATATAAAGGTAGACCATTGTTTCTCAACCGGGGCGTCGCGACCCTCGGGGGTTCACGCTTGTTATTAAAGGGATCGCAGTCTGTTGAAAAATAATAAGACCTCAAAAGATTTGTTTAAATGTAGCAATGTACGACTTAACTGATCCAACTACTAATTATTCTACTGGGCGATTCATTCGAAATATTCGAATGATTTTCAAATACGAGTCGACAATATTTGAAAACTTGATGAATCGTATCGTAACTTGAAATAATGTATGTAGCTATTCTTGTTAAATTTTTATATTTAGAATTTAAAATTAATAGAGAAAATAGTGACTAAAAATTAATTATAATTATAGCCCGTGATGTTATCATTGACTAAAGTACCTTGATTTCTTGGTATAGTTATTTTGGAAACTGAGTTATTATTAAGATTATATTATAGGTACTTACCTATCTGTGATTTACGATGTGCCTTTTTATTTGATTGTTTCAGCCAGTATTCAACATTAGTTAATTAGTATTTTCTATTTTTTTTTAATAGCAAATATTATTGTAATCTTAAAAGCATCATTCCCTTTCGAATACTAAATAATATACCGTTGAACTTCATTTAAATATTTTAAAATAACAAATTACTTATTTTAATTCGTTATTTCTATATTTAAATGTATTTGAATCCTTTATAATGTAGGGTGAAAAAGTACAGTAAGCCGGTCTAAGAATGTAGCAGAGTGCAATCAGTCATTGAGAGTTACATTATTCTCTTTTCGTTTAATTAAATTTATGAATCATATTGTATCTGTGTTCACTCAGGGTGCTGTGGCTTATGTTATGCTGTTATGAAGAAAATATTGATTAACTAGAATTATGTTGGTTGTGTAGGAGGAACAAATGTGATTTAAATAATAATGAACAATAATTAAAAGTTATATAATTAATCTTATATTTAGTATAATAAAATAAGGTCCATTTAATTAAAATAGCTGCCATTTTAATATGCAAGGTTTTTTAGCATTTATAATGCTCTTGACTTATGTAATTTAGTAATAAATATACTTCTATGTTAAATATTATTTTCTACAAATATTGTTTGTTATCACATTTTGCCATTCAACAGTAGGTATTATTAATTATAATAAATTATCTTATACAAATCACTTTTCTTGAATAAATACTTCCAAATAACTTTTTCAGTCTTTTTTGCCAATACTCCATAGAAACGATTTCATAAATATAAAAATTTAGATATTATTTTTTAACAATTTAAATATATATGTACACTATCAGTTATTATAGAATCTCTTATATAGTAAAGATCCAATCAGTTAAGTTCCATAAATAAACAAAATAAAATAACAATATAAAATTTACTTGAAAAGTACATTAAAAACATGGTACAAAATATAAATAACGACTTCATTGATCTCTGTCTTTGTCGATTATTATTTAGTTATTCTTTTTCAATGTCGATATAATATCGGTTTAGAAATCTAAATTTAAAATAAACCTACAGTAGGCACCTTTAATAACAACCATACATAATTAATGCTAGCATTACTTACTGTTACCCTTAATTTTGTTGAAGTATATGCAATATAAATTAACTTACTTTTTTTATACTACTAAAGTGGCAAACAAGTATATGGCTCACCTGAAGGTAAGCGGTTACTCTCCAATTATATTTCATATGAATAATCTTTTACAAGTCTGTGGTCATAACATTAGTGAGAAGACGTATTTGATGAGCATTACAATTTTTGCATAAAATGCGGCCATCAAGTGGGTAACAACCTCGTCCTGGGGCATCAGATGATAACAAAAGATCACAATCTTCACAACGATAACAACGTACATGGAAACTGCGATCTAGAGCAACTACTCTAACTGTTTCTTCTTCGCCTTCTTCTGGCATTATGGGTAATTCGCAAACACAACAACGAGGTGCAAACTTTTTATGAAAATCATCAATACAATGTATTTGATTCATTGCATCAACAGTGAACGGAATTCCATCAAGACTTTTACCACATACCACACAAGTAAAACATGCTGGATGATAAGGTTTCCCTATGGCTCGCAAAATTCTGTCCAAAATAGGCTTATAACACACTGAACATTTTTCCAATGTTTCATAATAATCCATTTCACAGAATGGTTGACCATCAACAGCATAAAAAGGTTTGCCTTGTAAATTAATATTGCATCGGTGACAGCAGAAACACTTTACGTGATACATATTATCCATAGCTGTACATCCAGAACTTTCACCTATTACCTTTTCATTGCATTTTACGCAAATGCCAAATATGTCCAGGTCTTGACTGTCAGTTATGGACTTTACTAGAAGATTTGTAAGTGCGTCAACTTCTTCTTCTTTATGTGATGGTGATTTGCTAGAGCTTGATAAATTGTTCTCATAATTTTGAATAGATTTTCCAGTATGAGAAGAGAGATTACTTGGAGGACGAAGATTTATTGGCTCATATAAAGATTCATATGTTGAAGTCTGCGAACCCCCATATTCTGGATATTCATTTTGGTATATATGAGCATAGGGTCTCTCTTGTTGAAATGTTTTATCGTGGTTGTAATTCAAATTTGTTGTAGCTCTCACCAATTCGCTGTAATTAGAACTGACTGGTGATGGTGGTGGTAAGTATTCTTCGTTATTATTGCTGTATGATTTGGAATAAGAATTTGGAAGAGATGGTGCTGGAGGAAGTGGTGGCGGTGGTGGAGGTGGTGGTAAATCACTGTCGGTATTTCGATAAGTTGGTATATTACTATAAGTAGCGTTAAAACTTTTTTGTAATGAGAGCACATCTGGTTTTGAAGCGAAATTTGGCACAGGGTGTTTTATATTCGCATACTCTTTGCATGCTTGTCGGTTATTAGTGATAGTATGACTGGGTACCGGATTGTTGTTATTTAATGGTGGAGAAATTTTTGTGGAATATGATGGCTCACGAAGAGTATTAACGGCAGCGCTATGAGGAACTTGAGGTTGTGCCTTTTTTTTTGGTGGTACAGCGGGTGGTATCTTCTTTGCTCTTCCCGGATTGTATAGATCTTTATTCATTTGCAAATCAGCTAGTTGCTTTTCTAAAGCATCCATATTATCAGGTCGTGACATTTTCTGTTAATTACTCTTGACCTTATAACATTTATTAATCATGAGTAACCGTATTTAATTAATTTTAATAAATACGTACTTACTGTCACTGGAATGTTTTAAATAATTTTCTTGTACGGCAGCAGTAAATCATTAAAGCCAGAATATTAAATGGAATTATACCCGAATGTGAATAAAATATATAAAAAAGCTAATAATCCACTTAAGCCTAAATTTAGGCGACGTCACTTGAATGTAATGCAATGAATGACACATAGGTATATGCATTCCATTGTTGTTAATTTGTCATATCAAAATTATGTTTTTAGCTTAGATATTTTGTAAATGCTGCCATCTGCATATAGTTTGTAAATGCTCTTAATATTCTACAATAAAATATTATACAATAAAATACTCTTATTTTGAAAATAGATATATCTTTGTATTAATGTACTTTTATTAAACTATTTTGATGTATGTTACATATCTATAATTATAATAAAAGATGGGTATTATAATTATAGGTAGGTATTAAATAGTACATTATTGTTAAATATATAATAATTATAAATCATTATAATTATAAATATTTTTAATTTTACCAAACTAAGACATCACTAACAGAATGTTCATTCAATTTAATCATTCATTATGTCAATGTCAAATAATGTCACTGTCCTACACCAAATTCCCCCTTTTTTTTTTTTTACTCCAATTATAAATGTTTATTATAGGTTCTCATTTTTCCGTAAATTTAATTTGTTTATTTATATTTGGAGGTTGTGAAACGAATTAGTTGGGATTTATAACTTTATACTATTTAAATAGAAAAATGGCCATGCAGTGTCAACTTTGGATGGGAAGTGTAAGTGTATATTTTTTATTATGTTACTAGCTTTTTACACGCAATTAAATATACTACTTCTAAATGGCGTATTAGAATAAAACTTATACCAGATTTTAAGTTAGACCATTTAGAACAGAAGTGTGAAAATTACATCCAATTTGGTGTCGGAACAAACATAAATTTATTGTTTGATCTACTGATCTTATTTACAGCCGCTATTTTATTTTTATTTAAATATCTTATGTACAGACATTGTCTAGTTACAATTTTATCAGATTGAAGTATACAAATTTTAAGATGGATTTATTGTTTGTGGACAGGGTATTTTTAATAATGGGGATTAGAAACCCCATTGCTAGTAATATACCAATATGGTATGACCAGGATGACCACACGGTTCCCCTTGGAAATTATTGTGATAGATTTATCGTTGAATTCATCATAATGGAAGTCTGCTCATCATTGACCTATTTCATTCTCACCTATCATCTCTCACTGTGTGTATTAATAGAGCCGGTGGAGTTAATTCTTTCTATTATCATCCATTAAAAAAACCTATATTACTGCATCATCTCTTGGATAAGGTGATGTATCTTTGTATTTTTGTAGTTTTTTATGTACTAAGTAGATACATATGAGTTCAGAAGCTATGTGTGGAAGAGAGTCCAATTGACATTACATATTGAGTTATCAGTCACAATTTTGCAATTAAAATCACTGAAAAAATGAATGTATGTAACCATCTAGAACTATCAACACAGTAAAATGAATCAATATTCATAGTAATTAACAGTCATACAAATTACCTACTTAACTATAAAGACCAGGTATCTTTGATTCTCTTGTGTAAAAATACTTGGTATGCAAGGACTGGTGGGAAAATTTGCACTAGTCTTTGTGCTAATCAATGGACCAGCCTAGTCCTGGGATCCCAAGATTTAATTCTGACTTAAACTTCCAGTTTCTAGTTCACTTTTGTATTATTTAATAATTATTATCACTTGTTTCAAGTTTCGGAGGGCATCTAAAGGTATTTTTTGTTAGCCATGTCAAAGGCATTCATATAATGAAGGTAGCCTACATATTTTTAACACCAGAGGGTGATTCTCTCATATGGGTATTAGTAGTAATGGATCAGCATATAATATAATATATGCACTCTCTTTTCATTTAAGATTTTCCTCTTGTTGGTGCAACCTGACAGTTTATATTGGATTAGGATTGACGCAAAAAGAGAAATTTGGAAACTCATAGTGATTGTCATTATGAATCAACTGACCTGATTTGATCCTTGGCTATCATCCTTCACTGATACTCCACCAGTTTAAACCAATAGTGCATGCATGGATAGCACTTCATTTTTATATATTAAAAATGGATCAGTGTACTGGTGGAATATAGCTGTGTGCGAGAATATAAAGTGGACTGTATGTACGATAAGTTCTTTGAAATATTTGAGAATGCGAAAACCGACAAGTTGTTTTAAAAGTACTACTAAATTACCTAGATTCAAACTTAGTTCAAATGACTTACCCTTTGATTAGCGAAAATTCCTTTTACAACATACTCAGATCACTCAGTTCCCTAAAGCATGCTAAAGTTACCTGAGATTACCTCGTAAATGTTATAAGAACTAAGGGTTTCGATCTTGAATCTTCCGACAGACGTTTCAATCTTAAATCCTTTTCAATATTTAAGAACGACACGAGAGATTATCTGTTGCGACACGAGAGATTATCTGTTGCGTAGTTCTTTTTATAAAACAAAAATATTAAATTCAAAAACTAAAGTCTCACGATTGTGAAATTAAATGTTATACGTATTAAAATACTTTATGAGCGACAACGACAAAACTGTTCTGTTCTGTATTTAAGAGCACACACCAACAACTTTTTTTTATCTTACTACCTCCAATCAAAATTATTAATTGCCACATACAAGAATAAATGTTTTTATGAATTATCGAGAATGTTGCCATGCAATTATTACATCTAAAGTGAACAGTACTGGTGGAATATAGCTGAAAGATGTAATTACATATATTTTATAGTTGGAGCCCAATATGACAGAGAGCTTCATTATGGCTGCATTTCATCGCATGGGGCAGAGGCCACTTGCAGTCAAGGTGATGAGGAATAAATTTACTGGTGAACCGGCCGGCTATGCATTTGTACACTTTCAGGTATGCAATTGATCCACTTATTTAAAAGAGATGTTGCCACTTTTAAGGTTATATGTGGTACATCAATGTAGTTTTGGATGACATTAATTGTAGAAATGATGTGTGAAGTTAGCTCAAAAGTTGTGTATATTTAGCTGACTTGTCAAACATTGTTTTGCCCCATACCGCCGCTAATCGCGTCTGTCAAGTCTATCACTGAGGTGGAAAACAAGTATACGGTACCTGATGGTATGCAGTTACTGTAGGCTATTAACGCCTGCAATGCCAGGGGCATTACGCGCTTGTTACTAACAATGAAAAAACCTCTACCTCATTTTTGAAGAACATTTTCGGTTGAGTAGTTCTGGAAATTCGTGTAACGTAAATCGTAACACAGTATTTTATTTTTGTGATATATTCCTCAATCAAGCTTAGCTGTATATATAGCCAAGATGACATTTATACTTTTTTTTGCTGGATATTGTGGCTATTATTTATTTACACAGATTTAATTTCAGACTGATGAAGAAGCAATAGACGCAATGCACAAATTGAATGGTAAACCTATTCCCGGAACTTTTCCCATCGTAAGGTTCAGATTGAACACAGCGTCGAGGGAGGCTCGTGCTAATATGCAACAGGAGCGAGAGTTCTCAGTATGGGTTGGAGATCTCAGTCCTGATGTTGACGATTACTCTCTTTATAGGGTGTTCGCTTCTAAGTACTCTTCTATTAAGACTGCCAAAGGTAAGAACCTGTTAACTTTTTTTAATAATTAAAAATGGAATAATTGCTTATGCTGTTGGTTTATGCTAGCAGGGTACAATGAGGAAAAGGGTTAAATATGGATATCGCTCGGATTAATAAATTTATGTTCATGATTAATGAAACAATGTTTCTAAAAATTCCAGTAATATTGGATGCATCAGGCTACACAAAAGGCTACGGTTTCGTCAGGTTTGGTAACGAAGAGGAACAGCGTAACGCTCTATATGCTATGAATGGATACACAGGTCTTGGCAGCAAACCACTTAAGATCTGCACTGCAGTGCCAAAGCCTAAAGGAGCAACAACTTCACAGAATCAACCGGCCGCTACTGCAACTAATGCTTCGTACAACAGTGGAACGGTATGCTTGAAGTGCTTCGCTATTACGCCGACACAGTACAACATAACGGATGGAAAAGGGAATTATAACGTTCAGGGCATTGGCTAGTTGCCAGTAGCTTATAAATTACAGAATATTTCGTGTAATATTAAATCAGGGTGCATTATGAGTGGTGGTACTTTGCATAAACATATTTATTTTCACTTATAGATACAATCTAATATCTGACAGTACCTATTTTATTAACTTTATTATTCGATTTATCACGACCGTTATTCATAGTAATAAATATAGCCTGTCAAATTAAAACGTGTCATTCCGTAATAAGTACATGGAGTGCGCGATTAATTAGTATGAAATATTGAAACTATGTCTGTTATCCAGCAGATGTGCTGCTTATTAAGTTGACAGGCTATAGATTATTTCCAGAGTAGAGAATTTTGTTTTGTTGTACTGTATTGCACTGAATATCTTCATATTTCTATACAATATAGTTAGAAATATATTATTAAATATATACAACTATTCGGGTAGAATTTGTTCATAAAAATTAACACCTATCGAAATAACATTATTTCAGATTTAAAAAGTTGTATTCAAAAGTTAAATATGTTTCTAGCTATTACATCTTTATTTGCTTATATAATATAATAAGAATAAGCTTTATAAGTAAGCTGGCATTAGGGAATATATTTGAAAATAGCATTTCGTGATTGGCCTATAATATTTAGCTATGGTTAATGCTTTATCGCTCTTAAAATTTTTGCGACAGCTTCTAGATATGACGAATTTATAATATTACATTGAAACAAAAATAGCTCATTGCTACATGAATAGAAATGTTAAAAAAGCATAAATTTTAGAAGTAACAATGATTCGCTTGGAAATATATAATCAGCTCATCGCATTAATACAAGCGGATGTTGAGAGAGAAAAAGTAACGTCGAAGGGTTATTACTGATGAGCAGTTGTGATTATAGGAGTACAACCAATATTATGATCCGTCAGCCTATTGGCAAAATTACTCAGCGTGGTCTGGATACTATGGGCAGGGCGACCAGAGCGCCGTGGCGGCGCAGCCGGCCGCCGCGGTCGAAGTCGCACAAACTCCGGTCGCCAAATTGCCATCTGATGATTTGGCACTCGTTGGTAAGTTATATTTCAATTATAGGGCTTTTACACAATAGGCTATTTTAAGTGTTATGATGTATGCACTTAGTAATCCTATTATTTTTATAATTGCGGAAGTTTATAAGGATGGATGTATAGATGTTTGTTACTATTTTTCGCAAAACTACTGAACAGATTTGAATTAAATGTGTTACACGGGTAAATTATAATGTAACTTAGCACATTGAACTCTTTATTTACTAATTCTCGCCGGTAAAACCGCGGGCTATAGTTGATATGTACATATTTCTACGTACTTTTCAAAGTAAACGTTTTTTTATTCAAAAAACACCCTATAACAATATAGAACGTAGACTAAGGTTAAAGATGTTTTAAAAATGGTAATTTTTGTGTTTTCTTAAAGTTTATTAGAATGTATTTTTATTCAACAAGTTATATGTTAAATAAAGCCATTCTCTGTATTGGTCGTAAATTATGATAACGTTCTATATTTTTCACTTTATTTCTCAGTTTTATTTCATTGACACTTCTAATCTATTCAATTCTATTATAAATTTCCTGCATCCTTAAAAGTGATAAATAAATTTATGAGAAAGACGTTTTAGTTACCGACTACATAAGATAGAATGACAAAGCATCTTAAGACGACTTAAGTATCTTGTTCCTTCTTATACCTGCGGTAACGAAAACAATTCGTTTGCTACCGTCTACACGGTGAAATTTGGAATCTATATACTAGTGTTTGTAATTTTCATTACTATTGCAATGTTAAATATGTATCTGTTTAAAAACTATGTAATGTATTCCACAAAAAAAGTCGACTTTGATTGTAGCAAATTCAGTTATTTTGATTTAAAAATTAAAGGTTTTGTGTCATTATCACTAGTCAAGTCATACTGAAGTAGCAACGGAAATGGGCAGTTTTTATACTTATTTTTTTTTATACTGTATCTTATCGGTAGTTTTCGTTAACTGATTCTAATGTTTTATTAAATTTTATTCGCTACTCTGATAAATTAAAGCGATGTGAACAAGCAAAGTGATCCATTTTTCATAGACCAACTATGCTCCAGTTTCTTTTCATTGACTTGTCAACTAAACTCGCGGTGTGGAAAATTATTATTTACAGAACACAAGAAGTCGATAGATGTAGACCAGATGAATCAAGAATTTCTCGACCCGGATTTATCTCTTTGGGACAGTTTGGAAGCGTCCCAATGGTTTCCTCACGAGTGCATTGAGGCGTGTTGATAAGATTGATTTTATTGATGTGATTTAGTATTTAAGAAATAGGTATATAATAAATAATTTTAATTAAAATGTTGTTTTTGTTACTTTTACCTAACTTTTTTTTTTTATACAACTTAGAATGGCAAACAAGCTGACGGCCCACCTGATGGAAAGTGGTAACCGTCGCCTATAGACATGAGCAGTACCATGGACATAACAGAGTATACTGTTTCGCCCATGATACCCCCCATGCGTTGCCATTCCTGAGGATTCAGGTGTTATTCTCTCTGTACCCAGTAAATTCACGCTATATCCGACCCTTCAAACCGAAACACAGTCATGCAAACACAACTGCTTCACGGTTGAAACACGAATGGGACAGAGGTACTCAAGCAATCGACCTTTGTAAAAAGTCTCCCTCGGGTGAAAACTGGCAAAGAAAAGAGTAATAAATAGTTGTGTCCCAAGAGATCTGTTAGTTGGTTTCTGGCAGTACAAGGTATCATTTATTTATTTATTAATATATATTTGTGGATCTAAATTTGAAATTAAGAATTAAAAAAATACATTATATATCGTAAGTTTATTACATTTATACAAGTATAAATATATCGACGGATTGAATTCATGCTACAATATATTAAATCGTAATTATGTAGAATGGTTTCAAATACACAAATTATATAAAACAACTTATTTTTTACGGAATTAAACCTTTTAAACTACCTATCATAACCGTAATGATGTTACTTTAGAACGATTAGTGTGATTAGGGGAGTTTTTATAATATATCAGATTACATTATATATTTTATCAGTCTTTACTACAAAAATGAATGAAGATAGTACTTCGATTAGTTTTTATGATAACTATAAATTTGTTTGAATAGAACTTGATGAAAATATAACAAACGGATAATCCACCACCCATAAGACTGCTGATGCCCCATAGTTAGTAGTACAAAGATCGATTTATTGATGGAATGTTTGGATTTGTTACCGATTTCATTTTGTGTTCATGTAACGTCATGTCACGCATGGGCACCACAGAATATCAGCGCTGTAGCAATTAAATTGCTGCAGCACATGCCGAGTGGTGACCACGTTGGCAATAACAAATATAAAGTTTTTTTTTAATTGATGATTTATGTAACTTTTTTGTTGTTGGCAATAAATGTTTTCTTTCTTAATAATTTCAACAAAACTTGGTTACATTTTCATTAAGTTTTATTAAAACAGACTATAAGTGTATCACATTTGTACTCATTGTGATGTTAAAAGCCTGTGCAATCGATGGTCAACAAATGTACATGGACAAAATGTTCCCTTTTGTAAGATGTGTATTCGCCCACACGTGGGCGATTTTATTATAATTTGGTTAAAATTTACACTAAGCTTCGTTTTTCTTTACATTTAAGGCGAGGGGAGACGAAGCAAGTATAATGTAAAGAGAAATTTTGTTCACGAACAAAATGTCACTTCTGTCTGCATGCTAATGCTATTTAACAAATATTTTACTGTAATATATTTGGTGTAGCCACATGGTCGTAGCTAGGGGAGGAAGGGGCGGGCATTGAGGGGGCAATGCCCTACCTTAAAAGGCTGAGTGCTCTAAAATGAAAGCTCCCAAGAAAATTAGACAGATTCGCTTTTTCAAAGTCACTTAATTATGGCTACTGCTATAGTTTGTTTGCTTTATCTTAAACTTGGATCTAGCTACGGCCTTGTGCGGCCATTAACTATAATGCTGTTTATTTTTAAACCATAATTGTGTTATAAAATGTATTTATAAGCTTACACGAAGTCTTAATAGGCTTGGGATTACATATTGGTAAGTATTGGCACGCAAAGTACATATCGTTTGTATATCTTATTTTATTAATAAATACCTAATACTTGGGTTATCGCCTGCCAAGTTTGACAACTATTGGCAAAGCCCTCCATAGGTGAAGGCCTATGTTCAGCAGAAACCGTTAACGGTTGATATAATAAATTGGGTTATATTCATTACAATGTTTATAGTTTTTTATATATTCATTTGTGAGCATTCGATTTGTTTTTTTTTTCTTTAAATTGTTTATTAAACTTGGCATGTTTAGGAAAATTATTGGGATATTTTCTATTAAAATAATAATGCACAAAATTAACAGATAGTTAAGACAATAATATTTTTTATTAATTGCTTGTGTTATAACTTGTGTTTGTAGTTATTTTTATATTACTAAATTCGACAAAAACACACGCAAAGTTTATTGGCTAAATATGTCAAATGTAAAAAACAGAATATGATGAGTCTATTTCATTATTGTCTACACCAACAAAATTACAACATAGATACATTAAAAAAAGTTCCTTATTACTACATTATTAAAGCACGGAATGGACTTTTATATAACTTGTATTCAGCACAGTACAAAATATATACAGTTTGCTCCAAGCTTAGTTGAACTTCTTGTATATCGTTCTTATCCATCCAGCTTGCCTGGGCAATTGGCAAACTTGGTTATCTATATTTAAATTTTCTCTGATGTATGTAAGAACGAGACATCGGATGTTGTCGTCTCGTTCAGTCTCATGCACACGGTATTTTTTTTTAATGGATAATAATGGAATGGTAACACCGCCTGCGCTAACGGTATACGCTGGCGGGGCACCAGTGAGGGATGATAGGTGAGAATGAAAAGGCAGGTCAGTTATCCCATCGTGATGAACACACCTGAAATTGAGTACGATGGTTTCTAGGGGGAACCACGTGGAGGTCGACCTGATAGTGTATATTGCTAGCAATAAGACTGGAAGTCCGTATTACTAACAACCCCTACACCCCTGCACTCGGTAGTTAGCTGGCCAAGTAAAGATAGATAAGTGGGAAAGTTATAAACGAGATAAGTTAGTTTGGCGTACACAAAAAAAGATATCCGATGTCGCTATCTCACTCCGTCTCATGCACGCGACAGTTATAACGTATCTATCAATATAATTATTTGCCGCTTGTCTAGGTCGGCTGTACCGAAAGCACAAAGATATCTTGTGCGTTTGTAACACAAACATCAGAGGTGTATTTGTTTGGCAGAATTATGTATATCTTACAAGCATTTGCAATAGAAAACACAATGATGAATAAATGTTTAATTTTATCTAGGATTAAGAGCAATGGGCTGACTTTCGATGGTAAATTGATGTTACAATTTATACCGTTTGATGTCTATTCAGTGTGACTGTGATTGGATCCCAATTCCATTGCGTCAAAATTCAGCATTTATAAAAATATTTATAAATGCTGAAATATAAGCAGCGTATATACTAACAATGGAACCGACAGTTCGCATTACTAATAATCTCTTCCCCCTAGTATTTGTGACTATGCATTAAAAAAAAATAACAGTAGAGTATTTATGTATGCATCAATATATATATGTATTTATATATGTATATACATATATAGATGTGAATATACAACTTAACATGCAATGTGAACAATCAAATAACAGACTGTGCTTTCAAGTCAGTTATTTTTTAAAGGAAAATATCTACTTTTTTTTCATGTTATTCGGCTAGTTTCCACTGTAAAGGCTGGAGATTCTTTGCCAATGTCAAGGTTAGAAAAGACTTCATTATATACGAGTTGACGTTATTCATTATACAGAAGTGGCATTTTCTATTGCAAATGAGCTAACATGGTATATAGTTAATAATAAATACAATTACATTATTTAAATAGATCATAATTTAAAGCTGCGTTATCGTAAATGAACTATGCCTCTGTCTTTTCGCGGGACTTGGATTCACTTGTATAACACTAGGATTGGCACTAGTCCGAATGTCTTGACTTGCAACACTATTAGGAGACATCAGTTGAGGTGACGGTGTGGTCGACGCATTGCTTTTGGGAGTCCCTTTTTTCATGTAGCCGACAACTGAGTTTAAAAACGATGGAGTTAACTCTACGGGCGTCAGTTTCCCTCCTCCACAAGCGATGTATGTTTGCAATATCTTTTTCGTGGGAGATTTCGGGTCGTTGACCGTTAATACCACGAGTGATCCCGTCTCTATATTAGTAGGCACATTACTAGGCACAGAATTTAAAATCTCTGGAGTCTTGATGGTGAGTGATGGTTGATTCACTCGTGATGTAGTCGCCATTTCAGTGTTCGTTTTAATCACGGGTTGTTTTGGATGATTAAGAGCAGTTAATGCAGAATAATTTGATTTCGGTGTAGAATCTCTGCTCTGTTCAGAATTTGTTCTTTGTCTATTGGTCTGCATTGCTATTTTTATGAGGTCATTAGCACAAGTCGCTTCTACACCTGAAATTAAATTGTCAATATTCGTATTCAGAAATTGATGAAGTAAGTACATGTTAAAATCCTTTCATCCCCAGAATGTTTTAAAACATGACTAGGGGAACTCAGTAATCTCGTAAATCTTGTAGTAAAAGAGAAGGAAAACTTGTAAACAAAAGTTTTACACCAAACCCAGAGTGGGATGTAAATGGTTATTTTAAAATGTAACCTCGAATGGCAAACAAGCTGATGGGCTATTTGAAAGAAACTGGTAACCGTTGCCTGCAGACATGAATACCATTATGAATATTACAGAACACATAGTGTTGCCCATTGTACCCTTTACGTTATGGTGTGGATGGTTACAGTATAGAATTTTTAATGTAGTGGTGAAAAATGCATAAAATATGTATGTATAAATATAATAATTTTATAATTTAAATTACCATTCTTTGCATTTGGACTGTTAATTAAATTAAACGTCGTCAAGCCAGATTTCTGGTGCGTGGAAGGAGTGACATCTGGTTGCTTTCTGCTATCTATGGAATTCCGCAAAATGTCATCCACAGAACAGGGATCGTTGTGGTTCGATGATACGGTGGTCTCTACAGCTTTCGAGCTTTTACCTGCAATGTTTCCAAGAGATGTTAATCTAGTACATTTTGTTTCCATAATCGGGTAAAAACTAATTTATTAATATTTGAAAAGCGATAATAGGTACATGATTATACATTTGAAATTCATAGAAAGTCCAAAAAAGATGCTTGGAAAGAATATTACTCAATATGCCTTGCGACATATAGATTTAGGTATACATGGCAAGTCACTATCGAGACCGCTGACACCGCATCGCATCAGAAACTCGTGTAAATGACGTAAATGCCTAACTAGGTAATTGCTGACGCTGCAGCACGAGGCTGCTTTACGTGACGACTTGTAAACTCACTCCTGGTTCACACTTCAAACTGGACAGTGATTTTAATTATATTTTATATTGTAACTTTTATTAATAGAATTAAATTAATTTTTAATAAAATTAATTTTTTTTAGTCCTCCAGTTGTCGTCTTTATAATTACTATAAGCATATAAAATATTAAAAAGGCGGTTAAAAAGGCGCTGCGCAAAACAAAATAGTCACTACTCCAGCAAAAAACTACTATGGCGAGCGAACCAGCGCCTACTTCATATCGCGACTAGAAAATTCTTTATTTACCGACTTGCGAAGCAATATCACTATTAAAAATATAACGTATAAACTAAAAGCGTATTTACTGTCCAACCTTGTTATAACAGTAGAATATTAATGTAAATATTGATATTTGAGAACTAAATGTAAAATATAACACACAAGCCCAAGAGGTTTAAGTAGTACTAAAAATCCATATTTTTTTTTTAATGCATTTTTTTTATACAACTTAGAATGGCAAACAAGCTGACGGCCCACCTGATGGAAAGTGGTAACCGTCGCCTATAGACATGAGCAGTACCATGGACATAACAGAGTATACTGTTTCGCCCATGATACCCCCCATGCGTTGCCATTCCTGAGGACTCAGGTGTTATTCCTCTGTACCCAGTAAATTCACGCCACCAATATCCCACCCTTGAAACCGAAACACAGCCATGCAAACACAACTGCTTCACGGTTGAAACACGAATGGGCCAGAGGTACTCAAGCAATCGACTTTTGTACAAAGTCTCCCTCTGGCAAATTTGCATGCTAATTAAATAAAAAAAAAAAAGCGGTGCACTGACTGTGGCGCATGTTGCGGTGACGCGCGGCGCGCAGGCGGCGGCGCTCGGCGCGGCGCGCGGCGGCGAGCTGCTGGCGGCGCAGGCGCGCGCGTTCGGCCGCGGCGGCGCGTTCAGCGCTGAACTCCTGCTGCAGCTGCGCCGCGTCCCACCGCGTCACCGAGCGCAGCGCCTTGTCCACCTGCGCGCAGTTCAGCCGCTCCTCCTTCTTGAACTGCACGTGTAAACCAGTCTTACTTTATATATCTTTACATTTTTTTTAATAGTACAAAAATGGTATTGTTTAAGATTACATAGATAGAGCATCGAATCTCAAAAACGGATCAAATTTTGTCAGTTAATTGTCAAATTAGCATTGGCCACCTTAAATATAATGGTATGTTGATCCCGTCTGCGCTATCGGTATCTGCTGGCGGGATACCAATGTGTACTTATCTAATTGTTGCCTGTTATGGCGCCTTCAGTTCCCATTACTATTTTTTACCTTTTATTTACAGACTATTAATTTAGACTTATTATATAGTTATATGTAACAGTGATCATCCTGATTGTTAATCAGATCAGCATAATTTTGTAAAAAATATGTAGATACATTCGTAGGCACGAAAGGGTACTTAAAAACATTTTAGTTGGTTTTTGTAGTTTAGAATAAAAACGTAAACAAAATAAATTGTCTTTCTAGAGTTAACAGTATATATACAAATGGTACTTAGAAAATTTTTATGATAAGTTCGAATAGTGCTGCTAAATAATCACATAACATATATCATTATCAACATCATGTGCCTAAGGTGTTGCCACACCATGTACAATCGCAAGCTATAAATTTATTGTAAATAAACCTGGTATAAGGTAAATAAGGGTATATTATGGTTTCTTCAGGCGTCCATAAGTTCAGTGACCATTTACCACCAGACGAGCTGTATGCTCGTTTGCCACTTTGTGGTATAAAAAAAACCTGAAAATTAACACAACAAGGATTAACATACAGAATTCTCATTGTAATTCATGTGAGCAAGCAAAATGAGTAAATGACAATGTGAACGCACCTTCGTTTTTAGCTCCCTTCTAGAGCGTCCGGGGAACAGCGGCGCCATTAGCGAGAAGTCGGTGCCGATGGCGGCGAGAGCGCGGTAGAACCGCACGGTCTCGGGCTCGGTCCAGTCGGCGGCGCGGGCCGCGCGCGAGTACCGCCCGCCGCCCGACCATGCCCCTTCGTGCACCACCGACGAGATCACGCGGTCGTTCGTTTGTTTGATCACCTGGTCACATATGTGTATTTTAAGAGCGTTCATAACATTTGGCAACGTCGCAGTTACATAAATTATCAAAAACAATTGAATAACTTTCAATGTTTCTGGCTCTATATTTAAAAAATAAATCTGCTAGGGAATTACAACGTTAATTAGTCTATGATAGCATACATTGCATGTAAATCTATCACTAAAAATTCACTATCACTTTGCACCAGCTACATATTTTACTTTTAAAATAATTGATGGCATCAAAATCCAAATTTTTAACGACTTTCTTATTGTATGATGAACGTTTTAGTTCGTTATTACTTTTTAAATAAGAAATCAAAAACATTAAAAAATGTTCAACTATTTTTTTTTTAATTGTCTGATAATTGCTGCCCCTTGATTATGACATATTGTATATTATATATTTGGCTGTGCATCGGCTGCTTAACTCCGGTTATGGTAACTAATCTAATCAAGCGGGTTGGGGGATTGTAAATAATGGAGACTAAGGGCCTCATTGCTAGCAATATATCCTGGTTAGATCAACCCCCTGGAAACCATCGTGCTGAATTCCAAGGGTATTCATCACGATGAGCGGGTTACCCTTCCATCATCACCCATTAAAAAAAATCTAATCAAGCCACTAATTTTCTTACCAAGCTCTGTTCATCTAGTACAATCTCGCCGTTGGGGCCGAGTTTGATCTGAGGGACAGGTGCGGCGGTCTCCGGCACCTCCGGTGGGTCATCAGGGTCCTCATCTACAGCTTGTTTGATTTTCCTATCGATTTCTTTTTCATTTGCCTCCTTTATTTTAACCTCGTCTTGTGTTGGGCTGTTAGTATGAAAAATTTGATAATTTGAAATTTACGGTTGTCAAAACAGTTCTAAATGAGTATTAATGGAAAACGTGTTTATAAGAATATATTACTGAACTAGGGGGTATCTTGCAGAAGTCCATTTCACTGGTTATTTAATTACAATTTTTGACCATAGTCCCGGCATAGAATAGGCCACTCTTTCCTTTCCCATGGGTGTTGTAAGAAGCAACTAAGAACTGGTGAGGGATGGGCAACAGCATCCTTTTTAAAACATCTTTAAAGCCTAATTTCGGTAGCCAATCCGCTTGCCAAGCGTGGCAACTACTGGCAAAATCCTCCAAGGCGAAGGCTTATGTTTAGCAGTGAAAAATTAAAGGTTGATATGATTCTGTATATAAAAAGAATTGAAGATTAAGAAATTTAAATTATACTTACACAATAGGGTTTGTTGTAGGGTTGTAGAATATGAGATCGTACATTGTAAGTTTGTCACGCTGGACAGTCTCGCGGCGCCGGCGCATTGCCGTCATGCGACGATTTATATCATGTCGACGAGATCTGGTAAAAAATAATAAAAAAAAAAATGTTAATTATTATGTGTAACAACATCTAACATTTAACCCTTTGCACTCCAGCCTAGTAATTCATAGTGGATACTAATAACTTATTAATTTATCAATAACTTATTATAATGTAAACAAAATAAACATATTATAAACACTATAAGATAAACACAGAGGTTTTTGCTTACCTAAGTATTAAGTGCGCTGAGTTAGTAAAACAACCGTGTCGCTGTAGCTGCGACAGTGGATTTAATGTTAGCATTTTAATGTCGCAAATACGATAACCGAGTGCAAAGGATTAATGACGGTGTTAAATTCTTACAATAAGGTATAATTATTACACTGGTCTAAGAAAGAGATAATATGCAGAAACAGGCATGTAGATCACCAGTTCTGTCACTCAGAGTCATGTGATGAAAGAAATGTCAATGCCAACACTCAGCAGTAGTATTTCCGAACAGATGTGATATTGAAACCTTAAAAAAAGAGCACATTACTTCCTAAAAGGCTAACACACCTATTTCACACAATTTCTCTAATGTTGCGGGTGCCTTTAGACAGCGGTAATCACTTACCATCAGGTAACCCACATGCTTATTTGCCCTCTGTATTATAAAAAAAGGAAATATGAGTAACAGGAATATAGATCAAAGATAGATCTTAGAATCGTAAATGCTAAAGTTCCGCATTATATTTACTCTCCATTATTTGAATGTTTACAGACTCATATATTTGGAAAATTAACATGAGTAGGTGTCACAGTATATTTTACTATGCTCATTGCATGTACACATTAAGATATAACATTAATTATTGAAAAATCTCGTAGACGATGTCAAGGTACGCAACTAAGTAAGTACAAATGGAACGAAGCTAACTTCGATATATGTTTTTCTTTGGTAGGCGAGGTGGCTGGCGCAGGCTGCATCGTCGCGACGCTCACACTTGAACAAACAGAGTCGTTGCGCACTCTGTTTACATCCCTAGAATAAAATATAATTTGCAGATTACATAATTTGTTATCATATTATGTTGACACAAAGTTCATAATCCGTAAAAAATTAATAAGTAATAAAGATAATAATGTTAATGACAAATAATTGCTTGCTTTATACACACGAATAAAATTATATTACGCTGATCCCAAATAAATCAGTACAAGTCCAGGAAGATGACGATGATATGACAACAAAATATTGATTTTTCTAATCCAACCATATATTGTAAAATACAAAATATTAATATCCTTTTAAGTGTGTTTTATTATCAGAAAAACTGGTTTACAAAATGGCCCATCTAACTGTTAAATTAGTATGTAATGCTCAAATTTTATGTTCAATTTTGAAGAATGCAGTTTTGGAAATAATATTAAGTTTATCTTGTACATTTTAATAATAGTAATTTTAATTTGTACACAAAATAAAGTTATGTTTTCTTTAACATGAAGTAACTGGACTACTAAAATATTTTTAAATTATAACACTATTGGAATAAAAGTCAGAAATATACAACAAATATCATACACTGCCTTTTGAAAGGTATTATCAAAAAATAGTTAATTATCTCAATGTATAGAGTTTGTAAGTATGTATAACTGTACCTGCCAAGCAGTGAATGTAATGTACTATGTGATGTGTGTGAATCGTGGCGCTGACGCGGCGGTGCAGGCGTCACGCTGCCGCTGCTTAGCAGCGCTCTACGGGTTTCGTCCTCAGATTCACTGGCGCTGCCCTGATTAAAGATTTTCATGTTTATATCATTACATCAATTTTTTTTTTATTTACATATTGTCCTATCTAACCCTTATTAATGTTATAAATGTGAAAATGGGTTTGTTACTTTTTGCTCTTAGTACCTTAATGACTTAATCAATCACTTTAAAGTTTGGTATACACATATTAGAATGAGTAAAAGAAAAAGATTGAAAACTACTGTTTGTTTCAAAGAATGGTACAGATTATAAAGATTAATATATCCCAGCCAGTAAATATTTTCTTGGTCATAATTACCATTCTTTTCACTAAAGTCAGGAGATTAGATATCTGTATCCAATAGTGAGGACAGGCCTCTCAGAATTCTATGTAATTTATAACTTAAAAAAATATCAAAGTCACATAGACAAAGTTTTCAATTAGGATTTGATTTGAAAACCAAATCTTTGTAGTTTAGTAGATTTTACAATCATTATGGACATAACAAAAACGATTCAATACCTGAATACTGTTTCTCCTGTGTGGACCAAGTCTAGGTACAGGTCGAAGTTTTGGTCTCACTTTGCTTGGTGAAGGCAGTGGCACAATAGGATCGAAGAGAACTTCAGCATGTTCTGATATTATTTCATTTTTTAACAGATCAATGGGTTTTGGTGCACTGCAAGTGGGCTGCAAGGGTACAATACCATCCATGACAGCCTCCTCTGTGACACTTTCTGGAACACTTGGCACATTGTAATCTGTAAAGGATAAAATATAGATAAATATAATAATCATGATATAAATAAAATTCATAGATGAATAATATTAATACAACAGGAGTAGATATGTAACTCAATAAACAAAATATAAAAAGGACTTCATTTATACAAAAAAATATTACACCCCTATATATAATATATATTTTATAATCTTGTGTCTATAGCACTATAATGTATATATTCACAGACTCATTTAGAAAGTGTTTGTTTTATTATTTAATTTAAAAATAAAATTATTTTAAATTAAAGATTATTGTGAAGAGAAATTAAAATAAACAAGTTTTTGTAAAATAAAATTTTCTATAAATATTAAAAATATGTTGTCACTTAATTTTTACTAATGACCACTGTCACTATTATTTATGTTACACTTAAATAATACTTAAATATACTTTAATTTTTATTTACCATATGGTACATCACTCCTAGTTTCTGCAACATTCTCAATTCCCAATTTGTTCTCTTTTTGTAACTCATTATTACTACCAATACAAGCTTCTGTAACAAGTTTCTCTGATTGTGGTGTAGCAGGTTTGTGAATGTTTCTTTTAGGGGAAGGTATTATAGGTGATGCAATGTTTATTATATCAGGGCTGTTTTTCTTCGCTCGAGGAGATGCAAAAACGCTAGTTTTGAATATAGATGAAGCTGTAATAACTGGAACTTTTTCTAGAAACTTATCAGTTTTTAACATAGGAACAGGTACGGAAGTTGTTGCCTTATTTTGAGGCGAACTTTTATTAAGTGGAGTTTTTGGTGAAGCGGACCGCAGAGGCAGTAAGGCGGGTAGAGGTTTAGACCCAGGAGAGACTTTCTCCAGACTTTCATTATTTTTAACAGCAGACGAACGAGGAGTTCTAGGACTTTTTACAGTTTTCTCAATATCCTGCTTATTTTTGTTATCGCTAGCATCGGCATTTTTTCTTCTCGGTGGTAAAGATGTAACAGCTTTTATCCGTGCTCTTCTTGTCGACATGGTGAGCTTGAAATTTATGATATTCCACTACAAAAGTATCACATATTTTAAGAAAGTAAGTAACTTTTTCATAGCGGGTTACATGTTTTATTGAAAAAATACTTTGACAGTTAATAAAGAATTAATAATTAATTTAAAAGACAACGTGAATAATACGGAAAGAGAAAACAGTATATATTGGGTAATGTACACAGACTAAATTATATATTGGTAATGAAAGACTACAAAATGTGCATTGCATGAATGATCCTTTTTTTTTTTTTTTAGTACGTTTGTTCCGTTTGGAACAGGCTAAGGTCGGAGACCATGCTGTCTAGTCTTCAAAAAGATAATTTGTCTGGAATTTTATTTTTCTAATGTCGCTTCAATTATTGTCATAATCTTCAATATTTCATTTGTCAAATCCGGTAAGTACATTTTCATAAATATCTTTTCTTGAGTTTTCTTAAACCAGTGGATTTATCAAATTAAAAATAAATAATTATAAAAAATCATTGTCTTGCAATTCAATAAAAGTATTCTTATAGCTCCTTGAATGTTGTAGTAATATAAGTGAAAATAGCTTTGAAACAAGAAGGAAATCTTAAGAGAAGCGGGATTGAGTGCGGGATATTTTCGGGTTTTTTGAAGATAATCCTAAGTTCGTCAAACATAATGTGTCTTTGAATGACAAATTCAGAGCAATCAAAAAAAAGGTGATGTAGAGATTGGGCTGTATTTGAGTTACACCATGTGCATGATGGGGAAGCGATCATGCCCATTCGGTGCAGGTGTTCGTTGAAATGTCCGTGGCCGATTCGTAATCTACAAATATTGGTGTAAAATTTTCTGTTTGTGTCCTTTCCTTTGCAGAACCACGGTTTTCCAATACGCCAATTAATTTTGCGGTACCATTTGCCTTTGGTCTGTAATATTTGAGTCCAATGCTCCTCCCATTTAGTTGTAACGATTTTATGTATTCCAATACTACAATCTGAGTAACAAAGGGGTAAATCTTGAACACGAGCAGCACTTGAATTAATAATTTTAGCCAAAGTGTCTACTTGTTCATTCCCAAACACTCCAATATGTGAAGGGGTCCAGATGAAGATAATATCTTTTCCATATATAGTACAGAGATGATAATATTTATTACGAATTTCTTGAATTAAGTAGTTTGATGATGAAATGATTGTGTTATTTTTTAATGCCATAAGAACACTCATACTATCTGTAATTATAATCCATTTCGAATATAGTACCTGTTTTTCTATGTATTCTAATGCTAAAAATATAGCTTTTGCTTCTGCTGTGTAAATACTAGCCAAAGTTGAAATTTTATAACCGTGACCAAATCTATTTGACAAATCATAAAAAGCCACTGAAGTGCTAAGTGCATTTTTGGAACCATCTGTATATATCTGCCTGTAGTCAATAAATTCTGATAAAGTCTCATACATATCGTGCTTTTCTTTTATGTCTTTATGTATAACAATTTTGATCTTACAGAACTTACTCTCATAAAGGCCATTATAACAAGGAAGTATCTTACTACTATAGATGTTATATTCATCTCGTAAATTCAAATCATTGATAATAGTTTTATTCAAAAACATAGAAATGGGGCAATTTAATAATTTGAGTATGAGTGGGTTATTGGAAACTGAAAAAACTTTGAAGAGAAATTTGAGTTTTAGGTATTCGAAACGAAGAAGGATAGGAGGCAAATTACATTCTACTTGCATTGAGATAATTGGAGAAGTATACATAGCACCTAAAATAAGTCTTAAATTCATATTTTGAATTTTTTCGAGTTTTTCTACTAATTTATGTTCTGAGGCATAACAAAAGAAAGCGTAATCAAAATTACTTCTAACAAGAGATTTGTAAAGTAAAAGGATAATTTTAGGATCAGCTCCCCAGTTACGACCAATTACAGATCTTATTATATTAGTGGCTTTTAAAGCACGATCTACTAAGCAATCAACGTATAGATCCCATTTTAAATTTTGATGAAAAATTACCCCCAGAAATTTAACGCTACAGTCTGTTGGAAGAGTTTGATTATTATATATAATATTCATTAATGGAACATATTTATGAACTTGATGAAAAACAACTACTTTACTTTTGGTTAAACTAATATCGAGGGAAAAAAGAGAAAAATATTTCTCAAGTCTTTTTAATGACTCATTTAACACTAATTGCATATCAATAATATTCTTTCCTTTTATATAAATTAATAAATCATCGGCAAATTGCAAGTTGTTCACACTGTTTCCTAAAACTAAATTAAGTTTATAGATATATAAAATATATAGTAGCGGGCTTAAAATACCACCTTGACATACTCCTTTAGAGCTTAACCTAGGTCCTATTAATTTACTATTTACTTTAACATACACTTCTCTATTACTAAGAAAATTATAATTCCATTCGATAAGTTTCATTGGAAGAAATGAGGATAGAATCGAAGATAGAACTGTTAAATTTACATTGTTAAAAGCTCCTACGACATCTAAAAAAACAGATAGAACATATTCATCGTTATTCAAAGCAGTACTAAGGTCGACATAGAAGTTCGCTAAACTTTCGCGCGCTGAATATCCACGGCGAAAACCAAATTGATTCGATGGTAATATACTATTACTTTCAATAAAGAACTCTAAACGCTGTTTAATTAATTGTTCGAATAATTTGCCTGCACAGGACGTCAATGTTATAGGTCTATAGGAGTCGAAATTTGTAGGATCTTTACCGGGTTTAATTACTGGAATCAAACAATCCATTTTCCATTCTGGTGGGATAATACAGTCCTTCCATAAATCGTTAAAAATTTGTAAGAGTTTAGTAAGGTTTATTTTATTCAGCAATCGAAACATATTGTATGTTAAGCGATCAAGGCCACTAGCTGTATCTTTTCTAGATTTTACTGCACTGGATATTTCATCAATTGAGAATGGGTCAGTGAGAAATTTTGGGCATGAATTAACAGAATTAAACTGTTTGTCATCAAAAGGTGAGTGTACAAAATCAGGAGTATATTTGCGTAAAAAATCATTGACCCATGATATATCTTTAAAATGATTTTGACGATGTTTTGAATTTAGTTTTCTCATATTTTGCCAAACAGTGGAAATTGGTGTTAATCTATTAAATTTGGAACAAAATTCCTGCCACCCCTGTTGTCTTACTTGCTTAATTACTAACTTTTTAACAGCTTGAACTCTTTTAAAATTTATGTAATTATCGAGAGTTGGATTTAGTTTAAACCTAAGGTAAGCCGCTTTACTATCATTGACAGCTGTCGCACACCTGTTATTCCACCAAGGTACTGCAATATGTTTGTGCCTCTTTGAAGTATTTGCACCGCTATTTGATAAGTTCCTACGTGGAACGGAACGTTCCACAGCTGTCAAAATAATTTTACAGAACCTATTGTAATTGTTTAAGGGTTCATTGACATCATACTCGAAATCCAAAAGTAATTGATTAACAGTTTCAGAATAAAGATCCCAATTAACGAGACGTAGGTTTATACGATTTAACAAAAGTTTATTAACTTCATCTATAGGAGCATGTTGTTCACCTGACGGAGTTGATGAAGAGTTCTTTGTGTTTATTTTAGTAAAAGTCGGCAGGTGATAACTTCCTAACGGATCATCATGAACCGACCACTCGCATTTTAATGATATGGATGGGGATACCATAGTTAAATCAAGGCCATTGGGTCTCCAAATATGAGAGCCAACAGTAGTAACTTGCTTATCATTTAATAGTACCAAATTACATTCATCTAAACAATCAAGAATGTCTTTACCTCTTGTATTAGTGGAGGTACAACCCCACATAGTATGATGTGCATTTAAATCTCCAGATATGATAGTGGGTTTAGGAAGAGACTCCAAAAAGAACTTAAATTTGGCTTTAGTAAAACTAGGTGTACTATTGGTAGGACAGTAAATACTGGCAACTGAATACCAAGAATTATTAACTTCAATACTAATAGCTATAGTTTGCAAAGAATTGTCGAAAAAAGAGTGAAGTTTTTTATATCTAATACTATTATGTATAATAATCGCTACTCCATTGTGGTTATTACCACAATCATTTCGTTCTATACAATAATCTTTAATTTTTAATTTGTAATGTGGTTTTAGCCAAGTTTCTGAGATGAGAGCAATGTGAATATGATGTTCATTTAAAAATTGTGTAAAAATAAGTCGATTGCTCAGTAGGCTCTGAGCGTTCCACTGTATGATAGTTAATTGGTCTCGATTGAATTTTGTGAAATAGGTGTATTACCAAAAGTATCATATAACACATTCAAAACACTTTTAGTGTTAATAGATGTGTTCTTTGTGTTATGTAGTGAAATAAGTTTGATTATGCTTTCTATTAAAAGTGATAAACTCTTGTTATCAGAATTTAGAATTGAAATTAGGTCTACATTTTTTTTAGGTTTGTTACCCAGTTTAGGAAATATTTCAGTGCTAAGTATATCTCCAAAAGAAGCAGGTCTGAATTTAGATCTATTTTCAGCAATTTTCTTTTGTTTAACAGGGCATTGCGGTGATACACTTGTGTGATTTCCATTGCAGTGTACACAAATAGCGTTTTCCATTCCAGTTGTACAAGTTTTATAATTATGCTCACCTTTGCAGATGCTGCAACGCTCAGAATTCTTACAGAATTTAGCTAAATGTCCATACCTCAAGCACCGGTAGCATTGTTTAACTGGTGGTATATATGGAGTGACATTGTGGCGCCAACCTCCAATATCCAGATATTCAGGTAATACAGATGCAGCAAAAGTAATTGTCACGGTTAGAGTTGGCTGTAACACATATCCATGAGTCAAGGTATTTTTTCTTAAAATTCTTTTAATAGCAATAATTTTCTTAGAACTCGATATCATAGTATATATTTTTTTATTAGATATATTTGTAGGTACATTTCTAATAACGCCTGTAACTTCTGTTGAAGAAGCAGGAATACTGGCCTTAAAATGGTAGTCATTTAAAAAAGTTTTATTATTTAAAAAAGCATTGGCTAAGTCTGGCTTTTGAAAGTATACTCCGATTTTGAATTTATTTATAGATCTAAGATAAGTTACCCCTTTATTAAAACGTTTTAAACAGGAGGAGAGTGAGAGCAAGTCTCTGGATCCAATGGTTTTCTGACTATCTGAGGATTCTACAAAGACAACAAATTCTGTCCCAGGGGATTCCTCGGGATATCTTCTAATATAATCTGTGACGTAGT